AGGCTGGTTCCCTCCCTTTATGGGGATCAAAGGGCAGAGAGCAGCCCCACCCCACTCCCTTGCAGGCTGCGGGCATTAGGGTTCTCAGGAATTGCAGGGACTTTGGTGCCCAAGCAAATGCTTAGGCAGGAGGAATGCCGGGAGGCTGGCGCCTGGTGGCAGGGAGAGACACTGACCCCACCTCAATGAGTGGAGCCTTCAGTAACTGCTCATCGGACAACCCAAACCCTCCTGGGCCTTCTTGGTGTAGTCCCTGACTGGTATGCTGCCTCTTAAGGGGATGGCTTGAGAACAGGGTCTTGGGCCTTATCTGTAGGGCGTCGGGGCCTGGGCCCGCCTGGCTGGCACCAAGGCACCAAGGGGTGACCCTCCCCCACCCCAGGCCCACAGTTGGCATGGGGTGCTGGGAGCAGGGGGGTAGGAGAGAGAGGAGGGCAGGACTGCCAGCATCCTGGTGGGTAGGTGCCAACCGGGCCGGGAGCTGGTGAGGGGCAGCAGGCCAGCGGCACTGAGCCAGCAGCTGTTGGGGGGAAAGGGGAGGGGATACTTTAGGGGGCATTTCTGTGGTCCCCCTTAGTCTAGTAGGACTTGGAATGGCCTAGTGTCTAGAAGATACTAGGGTGCCCCTTGTTCCAGGAATAAGAGACCCCAGGAGTATTTTAAGCGGAACTTTGTGGCCCACCCATCTCTGGGCTCAGAGCCCTCCTGAGTTGCCCCTCAGGCCCAGGCGGGTCCCACCCAACCGGCCAGGGTGGCAGCAGCTTGCGCAAGGGGTGGGGCTAGGCGCTTCCCAGCAAGATGCCCCCTCCCAACTCCTTCCTCTTTCGGTGCCCACAGCTCCCCCCCCATCTGTCCACCCCCTTAGGCCAACTCTGTCCCCCTGATCCCCCTGGTCTTTGGGGGCTGGCACAAGTGCTGCCCCCTGGCCTGGTTGGCAGGGGCTGGTGCCTAGGCAAGGAACTGTGGTATGTGAGTGGGTTTGGGGTGAGGCATGGGGAGGGCGGGGTGCTGCCTTGCCCAGCCCCTGAGGGCCCCAGCCCAGTATAGGGTGAGGAGTATTCGGCCAGCTCCCAGGGGGGCTGAGAGCCTATTGGGGTCTGGATGGCCTCTTTGTGGTCCCATATCATACCGTATGCCCTGAGGGCCTGGGACCTGGGCACCTGTCACCCCTGGCATTGACTGTCCAGGGTTCCCCTCCTCCCCCGTCTGGCCACTGCCGCCTCCTGTCCCTTCCCCTCCCTTCTTCCTTCTCCTGGTCCCACCTCCCTCAGCCTCTCCCATTGCTCCTCCTCACCTCTGTCCTCCTGGACTGTCCCAGCGCCTACCTTTCCTACCGCTCACCTTTTTCCCCTTTAGGACTGAGTGAGGATAGGCGGGGGTGGGTACATCTGGGCTTCGGGCACCACAGGCAGAGACTCTAGGCCCTCTCCCACGCTGCCAGCCCTCTGGTAACCCCTCCCTTCAAAGGGGGGGGACAGCACCCAGAGGGTTAAGGCTGTAGGGGGGAGGGGCTGGGCCAGGTCGTGGGCGGCCCCTTTGAAGGAGGGAGCAGGAGCGGGGAACAGCCACCCTACCTCCCCCCAGCCTGGCCCTCCCCCACCCCTCCCGACCTACTCCCCCCCAGGGGGCAAGAAGAGTTGCCGGCTAGGCCCCTCAGCGTTCAGGTGAGTAGGCCCGCTCTGGCTTGGGAGATCAGGCCCCAGGGGAGGCTCGGAAGCCTTGAATTGGCCAAGGGTCAGAGACGACTGAAAAACAGGCTAGGAAGAGGGTGTCCAAACTTCACTGGAGGGCTTTAGGGAACTGAGGGTCTGCGGAGCTGAAGTGTGGGGAAGCTTCAACATCTAGGGGACCCGGGAGGCCAGGAGAGCAGAAGGGGCCTAGAGGAGCCGAGGGATTGCTGGGCCAGGACAGGAGGTTGGACAGGCTGGCAGGAAGCCGGGCTCCGGGGATCGGGCTGGGGTGTCCTCTGGGGCTGGGGGGCTCAGGTTTCTGCCGGTGGCTTGGCGGGTGTGGGGTTACCATTACCAGCCGGCTCGGTTACCCAGCCGGAGACGCTAGGCTTGGGGGAGGGGGTGGGCACAGGGCAGACCCTGGCACCTTGTACGTCTCGTCAGGCTCTAAGAAGAGCTGGCACTACCCAGGCAGACCCTGCTGGGAACGCTGATGGTCAGGGTTTGTCCAGGAGCACGGTTGCCTGGCCCAGGGTGGGCACCGTTGTTCTGGGGGGAAATCCAGGAGCTCCAGGGCTGGAAACTCTGACGGGCATAGAGGCCTAGGCTGTCCCCTCACCCCACCCCACATCCGCTCTCACTGCACCCACCCACCCACCTATCCTCTCCAGCTGGTCCCCAAATTTTCATCCCGTGCTTCATCCAGAAGTGGGGTATGGGTGCCATAAAAACTGTCATCCCTGGCAAGACCAGGTCTTGGAGTGTGGGCCTGGCACATGGATTTAATTCCTCTGCCTCTGTCTATACCGCTCCTGCCTGGCGAGAAGAGAAGGGGTGCTTTGGAGCAGGGGGAAATGTAGGAAGTGGGAGAGGCTGGGGGGAGTGAAAAAAAGGGAAAAGAAAGAAAAGAGCAGTAGGGATGGTTGCTAGGAGGCCTCTGGACACAGATGTGGTAGAGAGGAGGCACAGATGTGCCGGGGAGGAGGGAGAGGCAGCGAGGAGCCTGGGCTGAAGGAAGGGAAGCAGAAGATGAGGCGCGGAGAGGGAAGACAGGGTAGACAGGGTCGGAGAAGGTAGTCAGCGTTCAGAAAGAGGAGGTGAAGCCAAGGGGCTAAGAGGAAGAGTAGAGTGTGACCAGTGGGCAGAGGGTCTTCAAAGATGGGGAGGGGAGCCTGGGGGAGGAGGGAGTTGCCCCCATTCCTCCCCCACCCCCATCTTTCATCTCCCTCCTATTTTCCCTGAGGGGTTGTGAGCTAGGATTAGTGTTGTGGAAAGAAAATGTGGGGGAACATGGAGGTCTCCCCCATCTTACAGTCAGCACCAGGAATGGGGGATTTTCAGGGAGGACAGGCTTAACCCCGACAGCACCGGGAAGCAGCCAACTCCCCTTGCCTCCTTCCCCCTTCGTGGCTTGCGGTCTCTCTTCCCCGCCTCGGCCCCCAGGAAGTGTGAGTGCTGGGGGTGGTGAGGTTAGGAGGGGGGAAGCGTCATATGGGGGATGGGGAAGGCATGCATTTGCTTGGAGGGGCTGGGGTGGGGAGAGAAGGGCTCCCGGAGTGCCTCGGGCATCCCTGGGCAGAGAGCCTCTCCAAAGCTATGCCAACCCTCCAGGAGACTCACCTCAGCCCTGTCACCTTGCCTTCTCAACTGGGCAGTCCAAATGGCTTCAGCCCCTGGGCCCCAGAGGCCCTGGGAAGGGGTGGGAAAAGCTGGGGAATCAGGATTCCTGGGTCCTTGAGGACTTTGGACTGGCTGTCCTATTTCCCCACCCCCTTGGTCCAGCTACAGGACAAAGCCCTGGCTTCGTGCAAACTTAGCTCCAAAAAAACAGGAAGAGAACCTGAGGCTGGAGTTGGGGTGGGGGGTAGAAAGGAGAAAGAAGTTAGGGGGAGGGGTAGCTGGCCCAGGTGTGGGGCAGCGGGAAGAGCCTCAAGTCTCCATCACCCTTGGCAGGAAGATGTCACAGCCTGGTCCTCATTCTCCCTCACCCCAAGCTGCTGAACCTGGAAAAGCCCAGTCGGGCCTCTCTCGGGCTCCGTGAAAGAGCCTGGAGGTGGGGGCCTTAGCACACGGGGAGGGGGGGTTCTGTGTGCCTGTGTCTCAGGCCCATATCTATTTTCTCTGCCGCTAATCCTGGTTCCGCCTGCTGCCCCCCACACTAAGCCTCACTCCCCTAATCCCCAGGGTGTGGGAAAGGGGGGCCAGCTTTACTCAGCTGCCTATCCAGGGCCTCATCTCTCTGCTCTTCAGCTGGCTCCAGCCAGCAGTGCTGGCCCTGGTGCCCCCATCCCTGCACTGGACGCTGCCTGAGGTCAGCACCTGGAAAGCGTTCCAGCTCCGTTTTTTTTTTCCCCAAGCCTGGGCCAGTGCCCTTTACCTTTTGGTTTCTTGGTGGTGGACACACCCTAGCAGGTGCCCTTGGGCACTGAGGGGTAGGTGATAGGGGTTCCTGCCTGCCCCCTCCCATGTTTCTTACCCCTAGGTCTTCCCCCACCAAAGATGGTGCAGGCTTGACTCAGGGCCCAGTTTCAAGAGAGCTGCCCACCGGCTTGGCCGGTCTAGCAGGCCTGACAGTGAGGGGAGCCTGGGGGGGTGGCGGGAAAGGGGGGAGAAGTGGGGCGGGGCCCCCAGTTCTTCCCCCTACCAGGCAAACAGACCAAACAGACCTCGCCTGGTTCCCTGGCACAGCTGCCCCCCCAACCACCACACACGCCCATGCCCACAAGGTCTTAGCAAGAGGGGGCATGCCAGGTTGGGTGGGGATGAGCCGCCCTCATGGGGCGTTGGGGGGCTGGGCCCTCCAGGATGCAGTGGTGGGAAGGGTGCCCAAGGTGGGGTGGGCATCCTGGCACTAGTGCCCCACCCTGGCAGAAAGAGGCTTCCACCTCAACTGCTCCTCCTAGATGATGGGGCTAGGAGTGCCCCCTTGGCCTGTTTGGCACCAGCATAGTTCCAGGTGGCACCTAAGTTGGCATGGGTGCCAGTGCCCTGGATAAGGGCTGGGGGAGTTTCCCAGAAGCTAGAGAACCCATTGAACACACTCCCCATCCCACGTGTTCTCTGCCTCTCCCTCCTTTCTTACTGCCGCGTGGCTGTGGGCATTGGAGGTAGGCCTAAGGGGTTAAACACCCACCACTGAGCGGACTAGCCCTGTGTGAGTTGCGTGGTGAACCAGCCTGAGCCTGTGACCTGACAGCAGGGTCAGCCAATCAGCGCCCCCGCCACACCAAGTTGCCACGGAGACTGGCCCTGGGTGGGAGAAAGGAGGCGGGCTTAGCAGCGGGAATGGGTGGGGTGGGGAGGGACAGAGGGAGAGGGATGGGGTGAGCCACGTGCCTGCGGGTGCCAGCTCCGGGCCAATGGACAGTGAGGACAGCCCCACCCATCCCCCTCAGGAGGGGCAGGATCGGCTTGGGCCCAGGAAGGTGCCCACTGCTGCTTAAGTGGCCACTGCTGCTGCTGCCCACCGGTTTTTGTTTGTTCCTAAGTCCTGGGGCCATTTGTACTGTTTGTAAAGTACAGGCTGGAGAACCAAAGGGAACTGGGAGAGCTCCCAGACTGCTTGGCCCCCAGGAAAAGAAGTGGTTTGGGACTTACGGTGGGAACGGTCAGACTATCTGAGGGTGCCTATGGGGTATGAGGTCTATAAGCAAAGTCGGGGTGGGGGGGAGGTGGAGGAAGGTGGAGGCTGTTCACTCTCAGCTTCTGTTCAGGAGTCCTGGCCTTGCTATGAAGGTGACAGGCAGGGAGGCAGCGACAGTGCACTTTGTATGCCCCAAAGAGGAAATCTGTGGCCCTTTATTCACCCAACCCCTTCCCCAAGAACCCCTTTTCCCATCAAGGCCAGGCTGGGCAGCTGTTGGGAGTGGTAGAGAAAACAGAATGTCCATAGGACTTGGCCCTAAGGATCATCTGGGTCAGCCTTTCATATCACAGATGAGGAAACAGGCCTCCTCAGGAAAGGAAGTGACTTGTCCAAGGTCATATAGCTCCAGTGGGGTGACCTGAGGACGGGAGACACACCTGTTCCCAGCAGTTTTCTCAGCAGAGGTGGCTGAATAGTGAATGTGCTCCCAGGACAGACTGATTTGAGCCCCTACTGTGTGTCAGGCCTGTGCCACACTGGGGCTCATTTACTACAACCCTGGGAGTTAGGTGGGATTATTCCATATTATAGATGAGGAAAGGTGCAGAGATTAAATCATTTCCTTAAGGTCACAGTGCTATTCACCCTGAGAGGATTCCAGCTCAAGTCTGGCTCACTCCATGGCCTAGCTCTTTTTGGCCCCAACTCTGCCTGCAGTTGCTGCAGACCCACCAAATGTCAGGGCTGAAGGGTGGCTGAGCCCTTGGGGCTCCATTCCCGCCCCCTCCTCAAATAGCCGAGGAAATTGAAGCACTGAGAGAAGTGACTTGTCCAAGGTCATTCAGCCAGATAGCAGCCCAGCCAGGACCCAAAGCCGACCTCCCCACTTCCAGACCAGACACTCAGCACCCCTCCCCCATCTCCTCCAGCCTTGGGATTGCTGGCCCGCAGCTCTGTCCCTTCTGTGACTGACTATGCCTTGGGGGAAAAGCACAGAAGGTGGAAGGTGGCCCTAGGAGAGAGGGGGGCTGCCCTCACTGGGCAGCAATGGAGAGGGAGAGATGGTGGTAGTGGGGAGGGGGGGACAGTGGGACTGGAACTTGGTCTATTGGCAGTGGGGGAGGGGGCGGGGGCGATGCTTATCTTTTCGGGGCAGGAAGCACCGGCGCCAGCGACACCCCAGCAAAGGGTGGCTGCTCCTTGGCCCCCATGGGGGAGGGGAGGATGTGGGGGGAGGGATGCTGGGAGCTGTGTTTCCCTTTCTACAAGGGGGATCTAGAAGGGGAGATGAACTTTCAGTGTGGGGGGGAGGGGCGGGAGGAGGACAGTGGTGGAAGCGCCCTCTTGTTTTGTTTGCGTTGTATTATGCACCGAATGCTTTAGGGAGATAACTTGAGTTAAAGCACCTGACTATACCTGGCCTGGAGCATCCTCCTAGGTCCAGTGGGAACCTCGACTCTCCCATTGGCCTTTCTTGGGCTGTGAGGCTGTGGCAGACTGTTACCCCACTTTGCAGATGACTGAAGCCAGCTACCAGAGCCACCCCAAGTCCTTAAGCCAATTCTTCAGGAAGCCTGAACCTGGAAACAGGCATCATCTCAGTCTAGTGCTTCTTCCAGAGGCATGCGGAGTGGGGCCATGGCACAGAGGGGTCCCCAGGAAAGGTCCAGAAAGTCAGGGCTCCTGCTCTCATAAAAGCGGAATAGCACACAGTGGTCAGGAACCAGGTCCTGTACTCACTGCCTAGGTTTGAACCCCATTCTGTACTTAAGTTGGAAAGCACCTTACTTGTCTGCACCTCAGGTTCCTTGTCTAAAATAGTTGAAAATCATTACTTAACAGGGTTCTGGAAGATTTGCTGGATGCAAAGTACTTTGAAGAACATCTAGCATAGAGTCACCTGTCAATAAGGGTTGGTCAACATAGGTCTGCTCCCCTAGCACCCCGTAAGGCTGAGTGAGCTCCTTTGACCCACCCTGTCCTTGACTCTGCAGGAGAAGATGGGGAGCCCTGAGGATGACCTGATTGGGATTCCATTCCCAGACCACAGCAGCGAGCTCTTGAGCTGTCTCAATGAGCAGCGCCAGCTGGGCCACCTGTGCGACCTCACCATCCGGACGCAGGGCCTGGAGTACCGCACCCACCGGGCTGTGCTGGCCGCCTGCAGTCACTACTTCAAGAAACTCTTCACAGAGGGTGGCGGTGGGGCTGTCATGGGCACAGGGGGCAGCAGCGCCGCCACTGGGGGAGCAGGCGCTGGCGTGTGTGAGCTGGACTTTGTGGGGCCTGAGGCGCTGGGAGCCCTTCTCGAGTTTGCCTACACAGCCACGCTGACCACCAGCAGCGCCAACATGCCAGCGGTGCTGCAGGCTGCCCGGTTGCTGGAGATCCCATGCGTCATCGCCGCCTGCATGGAGATCCTGCAGGGCAGTGGGCTAGAAGCCCCCAGCCCCGACGAGGATGACTGTGAGCGAGCCCGCCAGTACCTGGAGGCCTTCGCCACAGCCACGGCCTCAGGAGTTCCTAACGGAGAAGAGAGCCCTCCACAGGCACCCCTCCCACCACCACCACCACCGCCACCGCCTCGACCCGTCGCCCGTCGAAGCCGCAAGCCCCGAAAAGCTTTCTTGCAGACGAAGGGAGCCCGGGCAAACCACCTAGTACCCGAGGTGCCCACAGTGCCCATCCATCCCTCAGCCTATGAGGAGGAGGAGATGGTGGCAGGCAGAGTAGGCAGCAGTGGGGGCAGTGGGCTAGGGGACAGCTACAGCCCTCCCCCTGGAACTGCCTCACCCTCTGAGGGGCCCCTGAGCTACGAGCCCTATGAGGGTGAGGAAGAGGAGGAAGAGCTGGTCTATCCTGGTGCCTATGGGCTGGTGCAAGGTGGCGGACCCCCGCTGTCGCCAGAGGAGCTGGGCTCAGATGAGGATGCCATCGATCCTGACTTGATGGCCTACCTAAGTTCCCTGCACCAGGACACCTTGGCCCCAGGCCTGGATGGCCAGGACAAGCTGGTGCGCAAACGCCGTTCCCAGATGCCCCAGGAGTGCCCAGTCTGCCACAAGATCATCCACGGGGCTGGCAAACTGCCACGTCATATGAGGACCCACACGGGCGAGAAGCCTTTTGCCTGTGAGGTCTGTGGCGTCCGTTTTACCCGGTGAGCACCAGTGGGGCAGGGGCTCAGCAGGCCATGCCAGGGGGGTCAGAAAAAGGAGTTATGGAACTTGAGGTAAAGGAGTAAGGTGATCCTGGAGGGAGAGGTACTGACAGCAGTGGTAGTCAGTGAGGAGAAAGTTGGGGTGAGGAAGAGGGGGGCAGAGGAGTGGGTGGCAGCTGAGCCCAGTTAAGCTGGGAACAAGTCAGCAAGGGTCTTGGGACAGAAATGGGGAGACATGGTGAGGGTCAGGAGTAGGACAAGATCTGGGAACCAGGCCAGGATTAGCTACCTGGCACCCCATCCTGAACATCTCCCTTGCTCCTCTCATCCCTGCCTGTGCTAGGAATGACAAGCTGAAGATCCACATGCGGAAGCATACAGGAGAGCGCCCCTACTCGTGCCCACACTGCCCAGCCCGCTTCCTGCACAGCTACGACCTCAAGAACCACATGCACCTGCACACAGGGGACCGGCCCTATGAGTGCCACCTGTGCCACAAGGCTTTCGCCAAGGAGGACCACCTGCAGCGCCACCTCAAGGGCCAGAACTGCCTGGAGGTGCGCACCCGGCGGCGCCGCAAGGACGATGCTCCACCCCACTACCCACCACCCTCAGCCACAACCCCATCCCCTGCTGGCCTCGACCTCTCCAATGGCCACTTGGACACCTTCCGTCTCTCTCTGGCTCGGTTCTGGGAGCAGTCAGCCCCAACTGGGCCTCCAGTCTCCACCCCGGGGCCCCCTGATGATGAGGAGGAGGAGGGGGCACCCACTACGCCTCAGGCTGAAGGTGCCATGGAGTCCTCTTAAAGAGGGATGGGCTGGAGCAGCAAGGCCAGAGACACCCATGCCAAGCAGTGGGAGCACACAGGACTGAGTTGGGTCAGGGTCACTGAGGCTTTATGCCTCAGTAATCAAACCCTGCTCCCCCCCCCCCCAAGCCCTCATTCCAGTTCCAAGCTGAGAAAGTTTGGGGGCAGATGCTCCCCAGATTGGGGTGATCTCCCAAGGAGTGATACATAAGATATTATGTATATATTTACAGCTCTATTTGTAAAGGTGGGGTCCCTGTCTTCAGCTGCTCCTGGGGAGTAGACGCAATAATGTATTTCTGATTTGTGGGGTCCCTTTTCGGCTATGCGGGTTTCAAGGGGCTGTGGGGGGTTGGGACCAAAGCCTTGCCCCGCCCCCATGCCCCATGGGGTTTTGGTTGTGGGGGGGTGGTGAAGAACTGCCCCTCCCTTCCGAGACCCCTCCTTCCTGGTTTCTGTTCCCTTTTCCTGGCAGTAAATTATGCAAAGGGGGGGCGGCCTAGGAAGGGTAGGTGAGAGCAAGCAAGGTAGAAGCTTGAAAGATTGGGGGACTGGGCCTGTAAGGAAGGAGCCATCCTAGTCCCCCTCCGCCCTGCTCCCAGCGCTGAGTCATGGGGTCCTGGAGAAGGGGGCGGGGTGGCCTGATTGGCTCGCCCGCCCCTGGGGGCAGCGGGAGGGCCCCGCCCAGCTAGGGGAGCCGCTCGGCTCTCTTCTCCCTCCCATCCCGAGTCCCCGGGCAGGGAATGTCTTGTTCCCGCCGCTCCCTCCCCGGGGCCAGAGGGCAGGGCGGGCCGGCGTCCTACCCTCGTCTCCTCCCCACCTCCTCCCCGCCCAGGTGCGAGCCGGAGCCGCGCCACCGCTGCTGCCCCTGACTCACGCCGCCCCCAGGCTGGCGCAGGCCTGGGTGTGGGACAGGGTGAGGGGTTGGAGGAGCCTTGCGGAGAGCGGGCGAGTCGGCGCCACCTGGCGGCCATGCCCCGTGCGGGCGCGCGCCCCCGGCGGCCACTTCCAGCGCGCGCGCCTCCCTCGTTCAGCCGCCCCAGCTGGGGAGCAGCGTCCCCTTGCCAAGGCAGTGGGCAAATAACTTCTTGCTTGGCCGCAGGGATGCTTGGACAGGAATCCCTTCCCCAGACCCTTGCCAGCCCGGCTTCCTGTTGGGGCGGGGAGTACAATCCCCTCACTCTTCCTTAGGGTTGACCCCACCCCCTTCTGTACATAGCCTCTTCTGTCGGTCTTGTCGAAATCTAGTTTCAGATTTTTAACTACCCAATTCTGCTAGGGGTGGGGGTATATGCCCCCTCCCCTCCTCGCTGGGTGCTGGACCCCCTTGCGGCCTGGGCTCTGCCTTGCACTATTTCCCTCCTGGCCTGGCGGCCCCTACCCCTCCTTAACAGGGGCAGGTTCAGGGGCCCGGTGCTCTCCCTCCCATGCGCCCCCATGCCCATTTGCACAGCTGCCCAGGTACCCCCAATCGTGGGGGGGGGTCACAGGGAGGGGTAGCGGGACCAGTCCCTGTATCTATTTAAAAAAGTGATGATGTAATATATTGGGGTAGGGGGATGTCGATTGCCCTGGGCCTCATCTTAGCATTTCAGGTGATGGGGGAGCCCAGGGCTGGGGAGACCTGGAGCCTAGCTCCAGGGAGTGAGGACAGTGTGGCCTCCCCCATCCCCCCTGCGGCTTCTCCACTCAGTGCCTTAGAGGGGGAAGCAATCCCCCCTCTCCTGTACCCCTCCCCCTGCTCCCCACCTTGGTGTAAGCGACAGGAAGAAATAATAATAATTTAAGATTCACATTTGTGTCTACCTTTGGTTCTTTTATTGTGGAGTTGGTGGGAGAGATCAAGAGGAGCCGGAGATGGGACACAGGGCCTGGGGATTCTGAAGCTGGGGAGGGGCTGCTTTGGGAACAGAGGATTACTGAGGTGTCAGGGGTGCTGAGGAGGCATGGGAATGCTGACAGACTGGGTCTTAGGTGGGTGCAGCTTCCTGTGCCTCCTCTGCCTCTGCAGGGGCCTCTTCTCATCCTGGTCACTAGTGGGGAGAGGAAGGGGGAGTGGTCTGACCACAGCATGGTTTTCACAGGTGCAACCCTGCCCCCGCCCCAGCTGTGCAGATGTGGCTCCTCTTATTCACCAGCTGTGGCTACTCTCACAGAGCCCAGGGATGGGGGAGGCTGAAGATACCTAATGATTTTTAGCCTGACACTGAGACACAAGTGGGCAATGACTTGCCCAAGGTCACAGGCATAGTAAGGGTAGAATGTAGTGACCTTGGTGATAAAACTTGCTCTAGGCTTAAGCCACCAATCTGGCAACCCAGCTTTTAACTCCCCTGAGCCCTCCAAAACCTCTAAAAATAAAGTTTTGCTTCCCTTACAGCCTCCCCATTCCTTACTCCTCCCCTTATCCCATTCACTGGGCAGTGTGCGCTGCAGCCTTCCCAAGCTGAGGCAGCTAGAGTCTGGCCCATGGGCTTCGCAGAGTCCCTGGCTACCCCAGTAGCTGCACCATGCTGGCTGCAGCTGCCTCCAGGCCCGCCAGACACCCAGCCACATTCACTCTTGCTAAGGCTGGTGCCAGCCTTTGACGGTTGTGCAGCCCAGCGTTCTCACTGGAGAATCCATTCCACTCCCTGGCCCTTCAATCGTGAACTCCTTTATCTCTACTCACAAAACTCTCCTCAACCATGGCCACTCACTGGATTTACGAATTCTTCCCTGACCAGGCCCCATTCCCTGTGTCCCTCCTGGCCCCTGCCTCTGCTCAGACACCTCATTGAGCATAGACCCTGGACCACCCCTGCCACTCCAAGAGAAGGGTTTCGGTCCCTTCTCTTCCCCAAGGTCTGTCATCTCGGACACTTACTGAAGACACCCTAATTCTCTGCCCACCTTATCCTACCTCTGACCTGCCCAGAGAAAGCCCTTGACCCTCAAATCCTCTTCACTCGTTTGACAGAGGAACTACATATTCAAGCCCCCTAACTACAGGGCTATTTTCAACATCATCTGGGCCTTCATTGCCACCTGGAAATCCCTTCACCTCCCCAGTCAGCTTCTCTGCACAATCCCCAAGGCAGGTATTTCAACCTCCACCACCCACTCCCTGAAACCTTTATTCCACTCCCAGCCCCCTCCTTTGCTCTCAGCAGGCACCTTGGCCTCCTACTCCCCTGAGAAAAGCCAGGCCACCAGCCTGGAGCAAGCTCAACTCTGCTCAGAGGAGCATGCCCTCTCCCCTCCTGTCTTGAGCAAGTCTGCTCATCTCCAAGGTCACACTGTCCAGTGCCCCTGGGCCCCCTCTCATCTGCATCCCTCTCTCCCCAGTGCTCTCTTTCACCTGCTACATGCCCAACTCTCCCTCACTTTGGATAAAGACTTAGTGCTGGGTCCCCTCAAGCAGCTCCCTTGGGGTGTGAAGCTAACTCCCTCCTCTTCACCATTAAGATTCCTTTTTTAAACAACAGCAGTTATATTTAAAAAAGGAATTGTTGAATTTCTTGCGACAGTGATATGGAGCCGCCTACCACATTTCTGTTTCTGAGTCTTCTCTACCAGCCAACCTCAAGCAATGCCTGGAAAGTCGACCCACCAGCCGCTCCACTGACCCCTGGGGCTCCATGCTCAGTGGCCACTCTCCACTCTTCACCCTTCCTGATCACCTCATGCCATAGATATGCTTGGATCTCTCACATTCTCCAATCTCACCCCTCCTGGTTTGTGACTAGGACCCTCAGGGTTCTGTTTCTGTCCCATTCTTTCCTGTCATGCCCTTCACCAGAATGATCTAGCTCATTCCCCTTCTTGTCTCACAAGATACCACTACTACACCTCCCACTAGAGCCCTGCCCCTTTCTAGGTGTCCCCTGCATGTCCCCTGTACATCTCCAGCTGGACCCCCTAAGACCTCAGAGTTCTCCAAATCCTCTTTCCCCAGAACCTTTTCCTGCTTTCACACTGACACTGCCCAATGTAAGCTCAGAAATTCCAGTCCTTTGCACACACACCCCACCCTGTGGCCATCACAGCTCTTTCTGAACTAAGAGGGCCTCCTCTCTTGTCTCCTGCTCCTGCCTGGCTCTACTCTGCCTTCTTAGTTTATTGTTAAAAGTACAAATATGTACAAGTCACTTTCCAACCTGAGGTCTTCAGATGGCAAGCGAAGCCCTCCCCACCTTTGCCTTCCAGCCTTATCTCCCACATTCTCTGAAGTCTCTGCCCAGACACCCACCCTTCCCTCAGGCTCCCCTCTCCTGAATGTCTCACATTCTCCTGCCTCCCCCTGGAATGCTTTTCTCCTCTCCTCAGTCTAACAAATTATCAGGTTGCCCCCAACCCACTTCTTTTTTTCACCTCCTCTTTGAAGCCTTCTTTAATACAACCCACCCCAAATTGGTTGTTCTGTCCTCTGTGCTGCCCACAGTTTGCTTCTCTGCTTGAGTTGGGTGTTCTCCCTTCACTCGGTGTCACTTTTCTATTTGCTATTGCTCTTCCCCACAGTTCAATGGGCTCCTCCAGTCAAGGGTGCTGAGCAGGCACCCACCTTTCATTTCCTCCTTTCATCTCTGTTCCCAGTGCCTGGGGGGGGGGGGTCAAGGCCCTCAAGAAGCCCCTTGTAAGTATAACAGGGCATGCTCAAGCCCCAGCTCCTACTCCCAACTCACCTGAGCTCCGAACTGGACTCTGATGAGAGGCTCCTGCCCAGTGCCTCTTGGAGTCGTCTTCGCAGTACCTGTGCCTGCTGAGGGTCTTTCCTTCGAGCTGCAGCCAGCCATAGCCGGGGGCCCTCTTCGTCACTGGAGTCCCTGGGGAAGCCTCTCATTTCAGTGGCCCACAGAGGTCCCAGGGACTAGGGGGGTGGCTGGTCCCAGTGCCCCCCCAAATCCAGCGACCACATCGTGCTGGAGACTCACAGCTCCAGGTCCAGCTGCCCCTGGTGGGTAAGAGGGGATGCACACACAGAGCAGGTGTTGTCTAGGAGGCGGAAGCAGGTGGCACAGAAGAGACCTGGGGGAGGCCAGGAGGGAAGCAGTGACGTTGAGCTAACCTACCGGGTTCCTGGCTTCCAGCCCTCACCTACACCACTGGGGGTGGGGGAGATAACCTTGTCCAGCAGTGTACTAGGGACTTGAGGCAATGCCACCTGCATATCAATTCTTTTCACATGGGGAAAAAAAATGAGCTTCCGGAGGGTTCCATGTAAATGAGGATGTGCATAGGAATGAAGGCAAGGGTGCAAAGGTGAGGTACAGGACGTGTCCACAAAGACAGGACTACATGGATTGTCACAGGCAAATGTGCTGAGTTCCAGCAGAGAAGCACCCTCCCAGGAGTCTTACCTTTGCAGCCTGGGGTACTGCAGGACACAAACTTCTCTATGTCACGCTCGTCCTGTGGCTGCCCGCAGCCCAGGCAGTAGGTCTGGTGCAGCCAAGACTGCTTAATAAAGGGAACCAGGCCGGGGCACCTGAGGAGATGGGTCCCAGACTCAGCAGACCAGCCCCGCAGCCCACCCTTTTCCCCGCTCCAGCACCAACCTCCAAATGTCAGCTAGTCCTTCCTGAAGTCTGACCTCCATCCCTCTCATTGAAGCAGCCGCCTGTCCTCCTCCTCCCTTCACTCCCCACCCCTAACAATCTTCATTCCTAATTCTACCTTCTCAGTGCATAAAAGGCCTGGGATGGGCACCCTACTCAAGCAAGCCTGTTGACACTCAAGGAGAACAGTGATCCACTGACCTCTGGCTCTTTTACTCTCCCTCTCACCCCCACCTGTAAGGAAGGACAGTGGGCTCACCACTTGGTCAGCACCTGGAGGACACTCGTGTGGCCCAGGTCAGCTGCCCGCCGCAGCACTGTTCGGTGCAGGGCAGCCGACTGGTTGGTTCTGTGACTCAGTAGTTCGTTGTAGAGGTAGGAGATCCTCTCCTGGTGGCGGGTAGATCAGGGATGGAGTCCCCCCTTGTTCCTGTTTCGCCTGTCTGCACCCACCCTTAATCCCTCCCTTTCTCTCTGAGCAACTTTTTTTTTTTTAATTTTTTTTAATAGAGGCATGTTTTATTTTATTTATTTATTTGTTTGTTTGTTTATACATGCACTGGGTACAGTCAGAAGCGCGGGAGGGTGAGAGAATTCACCAGAGCCAGAGCGGGGAGCAGAACAGGCAGAAGGACCGAAGTACACTGCTGAGGGGAGCAGCGGGCGGCAGGAGAGGTCTGCGCGCCATGTGGGACCCTCCTCTGGTGGCCGGGGAGCAGCCGGGGATCGAACCGGCGCCGCAGAGTCCGCAGGCAGCTTCGCAACCCAGCGCTCAACCGCTGCGCCACCGGGGAGGCCCATCTCTCTGAGCAACTCTTATGAAGCCTCCAGACTTGACTCAAATGCCCCTTCCCCTGAGGAGCCTCCCGACCTCCCTAGGCAGAGGTGCCCATCCTTCCCCCATGCCCATGCATTTATTCTTTCCATAATAGAAACACTGGTTAATGGCCTTGTAATGACTTGTTAAAGGCCTTTCTCATCCAAGACTATAAGGTCCAGCCTGTCTGCTTCACCTTGGCATCCTTGGCAGGCCACATGGGGACTGGCATATAGTGACTGCTCAATAAAGGGTTCATAAACAAGAAAACAGGGCCTCCCTGGTGGCGCAGCGGTTGAGCACTGGGTTGCAAAGCTGCCCGCAGCCTCTGCAGCACCGGTTCGATCCCCGCCGCTGGGCGAGGGTCCCACATGGCGCGCAGACCTCTCCTGCCGCCCGCTGCTCCCCTCAGCAGTGTACTTCGGTCCTTCTGCCTGTTCTACTCTCCGCTCTGGCTCTGGTGAATTCTCTCACCCTCCCATGCCTCTGACTATACCCAGTGCTTGTATAAATAAATAAATTAATTTAAAAAAAAAGAAAAGAAAACAAATAGCCAGTTTCTAGCTACACCTCAACATGCTGCCAGGCCCATGTGGCCCCCATCCCCGCCATGGTTTTAACGAAACTTTGGAGGCAGGCTCTGTCCCAGGAAGCCCTGCCCACAAGAGGCACCATTTCTCTCAGCCCCATCTAGGGTCCAGAGCCTATTATTCAAGCAGCTGGATTTTGGGTTCAACCAAAGGGAAGAGAGCTGACACTGCTGAAGGACTCTTAAGTACCCGGGACTTCCTAGAGCTTATAGCACTGTGAAGAGGGAGTTGCAGACTGGCTCTGGGGCCCTCACCTGCTCCCGAGAAGGGTAGTAACAGGCACAGATGACCCGTCGTAGCCGACTCACATAGTTGCCAAACAAAGAGACGAAGAAGCACAGGCCGTACATGATGCCTGGAGCACAGTGGGCACAGTAAGCCACTGCATCCCTCTCCCCCTCCCAGCAGTCTGCCCCTGGCATCCCAAATGGCCTGTGCCCCCTCAGTGCCCTCAGGGCTGCGGTTGATACCAATGGCGAGGTAACTGGAGCTGTCAGGCTCAGAGGGATGCAGGGCACAGCGCTGCGACAAGATGCTGATGTTGCCTTGCTGCAGGACATCAAACGCCGACACCAGATCCTGGTAAATCCTCCCGGTATAGCCGACGCCTTCCACAGTTATGGAAACTAATACAGGGCCTGGCACAAGACACACTGTGAGGGATACTCATGGCAGTGCCCACTTGACCATGCCAAAAAGCCCCCACCTTCTGGAGGGCGGACAGTGGAGCAATGCCAGTCATGGGGGGGGGGGCAGGGTTAGACCCTCAACTAGGGCTGTGGCTGCCCCAGTCCCTTCAAGGTACCCTGAGACATAACCTCAGCCATGGCACCAGGTATAGCTGCCTGGCATTGGTGCCTGGCCTGCCTATCCAAGCCACCAGATCTGAGATGACCTTAGTGTCAGGGAGTCCACTTCCTGCCTCCATAATTGCCTGACAGCCTTTAATAACAGCGTTTGCTAAGCAATGTAGCAGGCACTGGACTCAGTGCTTTCCTGATTGTTCAGGGCGTTTTGTTGATTTTTCTTTGGGCCCATGGTGCACAAGATTAGATGAATGATATTCTATGGTTCGTGCAATGCTCTCTCTCAACAACCTACCAGGCGTTCAACACCCCTGGTCTCACTCCTTAGGGCAACTTGGAGAGGTATCTACCATTATTATCCCATTGTCTACCACTATTATCCCATTCAGACGAGGAAGCTAAAGCCTTTCAAGGCTAAGCAACTTGCTCAAGGTTACCACCTGGTAATGGGCAGAGCCGGAATTTGAACTCAGCCAACCTAACTCTAGAACTTATGTTTTTACCTACTCTGTTGTGGTAGAGCCTTGAACACAGGCGTGACTAGACAGAGGCTGGAGATGGAATAGGAGCAAAGTCAGGGACTTGTGACTGACAGTGCTTTGGGACACTCAGGCCAGCCCCCAGGATTTAGGGTGGGAGAGACACTGGTGGGGGAGGGAGGTGTTGCAGGCTCACTGCGGGCCACGACCTCCCCTTGCAGCTGATGCCGGGCCAGATCCAGCACCCAGAAGACAGAGTAGTCCAGGAAGACCAGGAGCAGCACAAGGAGGAGGTGCCGGATCAGGTTAAAGGTCGCCAGGAAGTAAAAAACTTGCTCCCGCTGGGACAAGAAGATGGAGCCTGGTTGGGGGAGGGATAGTCAGGAAGATGCTTCCCAATTGTCCTACCCACCAGTAGCCAATTCCTGGAGAGCTCTCCTTCCCGGAGGAGGGGGTTCCTGCAGCTGTTCCAGCTGGTCTCATTTGCAGAAGCTGGGAGGATCCTTGGGGAAGGGTGGGAAGCAGCTCCATGGCTGGAGGTAGAGGCCTAGCAGCCGTATGGGCTCTCCTCCCTCTGGCCCTGCCTATGCCAGCAGTCTTCTGGGCCCTCACCTGGCTGGATGTAGTGTGTGGCCTCCTGGGCACTGAGTGGCATCACGGTGGGTAGTCCCGCCTTGGTGCGCACCGCCTCCATACGCAAGAAGCGGCTGGTGATGTAGACGTTGTCGAAATGATCCCAGCTCAGGTAGCAATACCGATAATGTAGGGCTCTAGTAGAGCACAATGAGGCCCCTGGGGACCTGGACCAGACCCACAAGACAACACCCTCCCTACCTTCCACCATTCAAGACTGCAGCTTCCCAGGGTTCATGGGATGGACTGCCCCAGAGCCTGAGCCCCCACCCCTGCCCAGCCCCACGCCCCAGGCCCTCACTGGAGGTAGAGAATGGTGAGTAGTAGCGGTGTGGTATAGCCCATCAGAGCCAGGGCCTCCCGGAAGTGGTGCAGCTTCGTGCTGACGGCCTCGTGGAGGTCCAGCGCTACCTGGGACAGGCTCCGAGAGGCATTGAAATCCACGGAGAAGTGGTGGTTGGCTGTCACGTTGAACTCGAACTCTCTACGCACCCGATTAATCAACCACATCACAGCTGGGGCAGCGGGTCCAGGGAGATGGGAGCAAAAACAGGAGGGACAGAGCTGCACTCAGGGGAGGAGCCTGGCACAGCCTATAGACCAGCCAGGAACCCCTAGTGCTGCGATCTGTGGGAGCCCGAAGAGGGGATGACACCGCCACAGCCTGCAAACTTCATGCCGCCATCATGCCTCTGCAAGATGATCTCAGCGGGGCAGGAGGCCCTGGCTGTATCCCATGCCTTCAAAGCCTCTGCCTCTCTGGGCTTCAGTTTCCTAATGTGTACAGCACGGACACTGACTGTACCAGTGTACCAAGGGGTAACCTTGGGGGTCCTTTGCTGCTCTTGACTCCCGTCCTTGGACAGGGAGCACTCCACAGGCTGGGATTACTCCATGCACTGGGAGTGCTCCATGGAGGGGGGCACTACATATCAGGCTTAGGAGGGGTCACTTACGGGTGCGGACGGTCTTCTTCAAGAAGGACTGAATGTGCTTGGGGATGACACAGAACACCTGGGCCACTGAGAACCAGAGACCAAGTGTCAGGAGGGGTTGAGATGCCGTTTGCCTCCAGGGATGTCCTTGCAGGCCTCTTTTGACTTTTCACCTTTCCTATAGGCCTCCACATGGGTTCCTAAAAACTTCCCTATACTACTCTGCCCCTCATGTTGATCCCATCCTTAGCTCCCTGCCCTATACTGTGCCCAGTAGCCTTATTGTCCCATATTTATTGCCCCCATGGGTCCTCTGGGCCTCCCTCCCTCACTGCCCACTACATGGGTCTGGGCACCAGTGCTGCCAGTAAGCCCCTGGCTCTCTCACCACCAGCAAGTCCACAGAGCACCACCTTGAAGGGTACGAGAATAAAGCACATGGAGCTGCTATGCGCCATGATCTTCATGCAGTTGTCCTTGCCTTCGTCAAAGACCCGTGTACACTTAGAGTGGGGGCTGCCCAGCTCGGAGTTGCACACGTCGCCGATGTGCAGGAGCCAGTACCAGACGTTCCGCAGAGCCCTGGCTGGGGAGACTGCAGGGTTGGCACCCGGGGCCGCCTGGCATCTGGGCCAGAATCCAGGCCAGGGGCCTGCAACATCTCTTTGGGGGGTTGGGAGAAACCAAGACAGAACCCAGAGCTGGAGAGGCTTGTGGTCGGGGCCTCGCCGGATTATATCAATGGGAATTAGCACCAAGTTGCCGCCCAAAAAGTCCTGGACAAGGGTAAGGGTAAAGAGACTGGGGAATTTTGAGCCATCACCGCCCCCCCCCCAAAAAAAAAGAAAAGAAACAAACCAGGCACAATAATGTGCTGACCTACATGCTTCACGCCATCCATGATTGACCGAAAGAACTTGCGTACCCGGTCAGCCACCTCTTTGGCCCTCTGGACAATGGCTTTAATCTTGTTCAGCGCACCTGAGAGGTGGAAGGCAGCGGCACTGTGGGGTCTCCTCCTCTGGGGGCCATTGCCTCTGGGTAGGGAGTGGAAGGAGGGCTGCCATGGTGGGGGCAAGCCTGTAGTGAAACCGGCCAGAAAGCAAGGCGAAGAGGGCGTCTAACTGGGTGATTTGAGCTTAGGGCCCAGCACTAGCAGAGAGAGAGAGAGAAAGCCAGAGGACTGTGAAAAATGAAGGGCGAGGAGTCACGATAGCCTTACTGATGAGGGGCTGCTTGGCCCGCTCCAGCATTTCAGCCGTCTGGTTCAAGGCCAGCTCGGTCCCACAGGCCACGGCCTCACTGGCCCGGGTGAAGTTGCGCAGGGTGTTGGCACAAGGGCCTTGCAGCACCAACCCAAAAGCAGCCACCAAGAGCAATGTCCGGCCCTGTGCTGCAGGAGACAACTCCTTCAAAACCAGGGCCCTCACACCCGGCAGCCTAAGCAAGTCCTTGACCGAAGCCTTTAGGCTATTTCCTTCAACATGCTCCCTCTGGGGCCTCCCTGGTGGTGCAGGGGTTAAAGACAGCACTATCAAGCTGTCACCAGCCACTGCAAGCCTGAGTTCAATCTGATCCCCAGCTGGCCAGGGAGCAACCCACAAGGCGCTGCAGACCTCAGCAGTGTATTTCATAGATCTGTCTGTTCTGCTCCCCACTTTCTCTGGTGAATCCTTTCACCCCCGTACCTCTGGCCTATACCCCAGTTCTTGTATGCATAAATAAATGAATAAATCTTTAAAATAAATAAATAAATAAAAATAAAGTCCAAGTAGTTAGAAATTAAAAAAAAAAAACAACATGCCCCCACCCACCGCCCCGGGCCCTGCCCCTCCCACTGGGTGCCAGGCTTACTGGAGAAGGCCTGGGGCAACAACAGGAAGACAGTGACTCGGACTTGGTTGGAGAATGCCATGCCCAGGCTAAGGAAGGTGCCCAAAGTGAGGGTGCCCACCAGGCAGCCCCAGGGGCTGTGTCTTTCCACCAGCAGTTCCAGGAGTCCATAGACTGTGGCCAGGGACAAGCCTAGGATAAAGGCCGCTGTGCTTCGAACCACAGCTCGAGCACGGCTCGGCTCCTCCGTCACCACAGGGTGCACAGCAGCCTTCATGGCCTTGAGCATGGCTGCTGGGACCAAATGTTTACTGTCTCTAAGTGATCTGTGACTCTTAAAGGGTCCTAGAATTCCTCACCATATTCTAAGATTCTGGGAGGCTTTTATTGGACATATCTTAGAACTCCTTGCTCAGTTCCAAAGACTGGGGGGAGGAAGAGGGAGTCGCTTATCTCCTTCCTCATGCCTCAGAGCAGAGGGATTAAGACACAGACCTCAGACAGGCTATGGGTGAAGAGACAGAAGCAGAACCTCACATCCAAGGATGTCCTTGAGGGGACTGCTGGGATGAGACGGCTCTCCAGACCTGTGAACATGAGACTTCACCAGAATGGAGCAAAAGGACAAAGCAAGCTACCCCACACCAGTGAGTCAGTCCCCAGAGACCTGGCCCCTTCACAACATCTCCCAGGCCCCATGCCTCTCATCTAGTCTGCCCTCAGGAATCTACCCCTTCCCCAACTTTTGGGATGCCCCAGCCTCCATCCCTTTACCCAGTGCCTAGGCCAACGTAGCTAGCCCTTTCTCCTCTCCATCATGCCTGCCTCCCACGTCCTCATCCTCTTTCCAGATTCGCCAAGTTCCCGCCACCCTCATCCAGGTTCCCTGGAACTTTATCCCCTGCCCACCCCCCAATCCTAATAAACCACTTCCCAGGCAGAAGAGTGGGGTGTTGGCCCTGCTAGTTAAACACTTCTGTCCCCCCCCCCGCCCCCCCGAAGCGATACACAGGTTCCTGAGCTGGGGGCTGCCCAGCTCCTGTAAAAGATTCCTGTGGCGACAGCCAGGAGAGTTTCCGGTAGCTGCTATCTTGCTGGGGGCAGGCACTGGAGGTCTCCTGGCTATAGGTGAGTGTGGAGCAGAGGCCCAGGGTGGGACCCTCTTTGGACCCTTGACTTAACTCTGTGCCCTAAGGTCTCTTTCAGCTCTTGGTGAATCCAATGAACATCTATGAGGAACAGAAGATAATGCTGTTGTACGGCTTGGCAGGTTAGTGCTGGGTAAGTCCCATGGAGCATGGCCCAGTCCAGAATGCCCAGGGAGTGTGAGCTAGTTTCTCCTGTCCCAAAGCCTTGTATTGGGCTCTGAGGGGAGATGGAGATGGAAAGGAGACAGACCCCAGCCCTTGGAAGAAGCCACAGTCCTTGCCCTCAAGAAGTCTCCCCAATTTGAGGGACTCCCTATTACTTGCATAATATAGTTCAAATCCAAGCCCTTCATAATCCTCTCTCTCCTGACCTGACTAGCTTCTGTTTGTTGCTCCTCTTGATACATTAAATTCGTTCATTCATTCAGTATGGACTGAGCACCTGCTGAGGATTCAGCAGTGACCAAGACTGACAAGCTCCCCACTCTTTTGGAGTTTACATTCTAGTGGAGTTAGACAATAAATGAGCAAGAAATAAATAGCATTTCAGATGGTGACAGGTGGTATGAAAAAATTAAACCAGAGGGTTGCAATGGAAAGGGGCTTGGGAGCTGCCTTAGCTTGAGTAGTCAGAGGATGCTTCTCAGAGAAGGTGGCCTTTGAATGAAGACCTTATATCAGAGGTGTTGGGCTGAAAGAACAGAAAACTCACCCAAAACTAGTTTAACCCTAGAGGAAGTTTATTATCCCATGGAATAAGTGTCAAGGCAGAGTGGATTTTGGATAATTCAGCTCAGTACACCCATCAAGGACCCAGGTTCTTTTCAGTCTTTTATCCCTCTGCCATTTTTGGCCTTTCAACCACTGCTCTTCAGGTTATGAAATGGCTGCAGCAGTTCCTAGCATCACCCCTTCATACAACAATGTCAAAGACCGAACATTCCTTCCTCATGTCTCTTAAGAACAAGGAAAACTTCCCTCTTGCCCAGCCAACTCCCCCTCACACATCGTGGGTCAGCCCAGGAGCACATGCTCATTCCCAAACCCATCCCAGGTGCTGACGGAACTGGCAACAGCAGCAGTTTATTGACTGAATAAACCTCTGCAGGAAACCAACAGGAAACTACTTGCTCTCTGACCACCGTATTCAAGTCTGTTCTCCCAGGTTAAGACCTTTTGAGCAGACTCTTAACTTTCTGGTTATTACTATTTAGAAGTCCTAATCCTGCTTTAGTAGTTATGACTACTGTTAGGACTTAAAAGGGCCAATGCAGTCTACATCAAAACTCCAACTTCAAGATCATTCTCAAGCATCTTCCCTCCTTACCTCTTCAGGCCCCTAGCAGGCCTGCTCCCTGACATTGGAGATGGGGGAGTGGCCTGCTCCTTCCTTTTTTTTTTCCACTTCCTTCCCCTTCTGGTTCTTCTGATGTTAGAAAGGGGATTAGAATAATTAGAGGAAAAGGTTCAAAAATGTGAAGCTGCTGATACCATTCTAATGTGACTGCCAGTCGCTCTGTGGCAGGCACTCACAGCCTGCTTGTCTCAGGCTACTCACAATCCCCTTGAGCCTCTTTGCACCCTCACAGTGCTTAAGTTTCTGCTGAGGGCAGTTCTTTTGGATGACTTGGAATGAAGCTCCCCAGGACCCCTGCAGGCCACCCATGGCCTCTTCCCTAAGCAGGCTTGTGGCTGGGCAGCCTCACCAATGACTTGAGGCCTGCTGCTCTGGTGGGCGCCCTGGAGTGGCCCTACAAGGTTCCACACCTGGGCAGAAGTCCAGTCTGGGTGGAATGGCAGGTTCCTCTTCTCCCAGCCCCAGTCTCTGAAGGGTTCTCTCACTTGGCAGGGGGAAGTAAACTCCCATTCTTGCCATAAATGCATCCCCTCTATCTGCCCTCTCCAACCACTTCTCTCTACTTCCAGAAAATTCTGATTTCTGATCTTGTCTTTATATAGACTGATTGGGGTAGAGGGATGAGACAAGTTTTGATCTTTGGTAAGCCCAGGGAGAATACCTGCAGCCCTAAATCACTCTTTGGAATGTAGGGTAACTGTTGGTCAGTGGTCATCCCCAGTTGGAGCCTTTGGCCACAAGGCCAAGACCACAGAACAAGCCCCTTTCAATGTCCAGTTACACCATGACTGTGTTGAATAGATCCAGATTTACCTGCAGGGGCTGGGCACGGACAGCCCAGTACCCTTGAACAAAACCCAAGTTGCGTTAGCAAGGGAGAAGGCAGAACAAACTGTTGGGTGGCACCTGATAGGGTTTGCAGCAAACCTGTATGACGAGGTGGCACCAGCCAGGTGAGGCAGGGGGGAGGAGCGCTCCTGGCAGGGGGAGCAGCTAGGGCAAAGACCTGAGATGAGAGTGAGCTTGGCTTGTTCCAGGAACAGCAACAGGCTGTGTGGGCAGACCTGGTGGGTGCAGGGCTGCATTGCATGAGGTCACGTCAGCGGACAGGCAGGGGCCAGAGTGCAGGGGCCATTGCTAGAGTCAAAGGATTTAGGCCTTTATCCCAAGCGTGGTGGCAAGTGATTGGATGATTTGAAGCAGGGACGGGGGACATGATCCGAAGTAGGTCTTCACAAGATCACTCTGGCTTCCTGGTGAAAACTGAAGACTAGGTTAGCAAGAGAGGAAGCAGGAGACTCATTAGTCTCAGGGAAAATGATGGAGACTCTGTGAGGGCAGTAGAGCTGGAAGGAAGTGTCAGCACTTGGGGTTTGTTTTGGCAAAAAAATGCTCTGTCAACACAGGAATCTTCTAGGTTCCCTGACCAGCTTCTGCTGTCCCTCTGGCCTGGAACGCTGTCTGCACCTCCTAACAACGCTTACTCATCCTCCAGTCCCAGCTGACACATCATCTCCTTTGTCCAGCCTTCCCAGCCCCACCCCTCCCTGCAGAAATCCCCGCTCCCTGCTCGGCTCCCACAGCGCTTCCTAAGCGCCTCCCTGGTGCGCTGCTGGCTGTAGTCATTTGTTTATTCGTCTGTCTCTCTCCCTGGATTATGAGCTTCCAGGAGCTCGCTGTCTCCATGAAGAGACCACAGGGAGACACATGTGAAACTGCTAAAATATACCAGGAGGCACACAATTAAGGGCTATAATCAGGTGTGTGCTGTAGGTGTCAGCATGCAGGGAATGTTGGGGTGGCTCTGCACCTCTGCCCACTCCTCAGAGCACCACTGCCTGGCTCCAGAATTTTTCTCTTGTTCTCTCAGCACGTGGGGTATGTGTGAATCCAGCCAGGAGGCAGGAGCACTGGTCCCCTTCCCTAACACAAAGGTGCACACATATACACACACACAAGATTGATGACCAACCACAACTGTTCGGCCTCTACCCAGCTCTACAGGCCCGTGCAGAGTTGGCACACGGATGAACTCTATAAATGGCTGTTGAATGAACAAACGAATGAATGAGCAGCCTGGATGGCCTCTCAGAGTCAGGATAAATGGGACCCAGGGCTGCATGGTGGTGGTTCTGTTATAGAGCAACCCCGATATTAAACGGGTTCCTGGCTGTGGGTCCTCACCCGCGCGCTTTAAAGGGGCTTATGAATACTCTACTACAGACACACGCAAAAGGGTTAATAAAAGGTTTATTTACAAGAGAAAAGGAAATAAGGAAAATGTACAACTCAGGGAGAAAATAGGGAAATAAAGTCTTTAATGCGTCCTACCCGATCCAACGACCTGGAAACCCAAAGTCACTCCCAGAGCTGGCCGGACGCCGCGAGCTGGCGGAGAGCCAAAATGGAGAGACCCCCAAAGCCCACGTGTCCGCCTTTTGTATCCACCTGGCTGCTTAACCCCACCCTCAGGTCCCAGCCACCTTCCCTTTGGTGGTGATGGGATTTGGAGTTTGGAGTTCCCAGTGTCTTTGGCTTTGACCTTGGGGGTGGGGTGTGAAGTCCACAAAGCCTATATGGAATTTGCTTTGGGACATCCTTTTCCCCCTAACAGTTCTAGCAAGGAGTTGTTGGGGATGGGTTCTCTGGTAAAACTGAAACTCACTCTGCCTCACCACCCTGTGGCTCTCTTGACAGGCTTGGGGGCCGTGGGCTGGGGCACTTCACCTCATATCCGCTGTGCCAGTCTCTTGCTAGTGCCCAAGATGCTGGGCAAAGAGGGCAGGGTCTTTGTGCTGGGATATGCCTTGGCTGCCATCTACGAGGGTGAGTGTGTGTCCTGGGTATTGAGGCCTGGGTAGGAGGCCATCCTGGGGCAGTGAGGCTTGGTGAAGGATAAATAAGGGGTGGGAGCTACTCCCAGCTGCCCATCTTGCTGTGTGTCCCTAGAAGAATTCCTACACATCTCTGGGCTTCCTTAGTTTTTAACAGGTGAAAAAAATCAGAGGTTGACGGCCTCCCTGGTGGCCTCAGGGTTAAGTCTAGGGCCCTCCGCAGAGGCCTGAGTTCGATCCCTGCCAGCTAACTCACAAGGCACAACAGACCTCTCCTGTCTCACCTGCTGCTCCCCTCAGCAGTGTAGTTCAGTAGATCTGCCTGTTCTGCTCCCCACTCTGTCTCTGATGAATCTTCTCAAACCCCTCCCCTCTGGCCTACACCCGGGTTCTTCTACACAAAAATAAATAAATAAAATCTTTAAAAAGAAAATATTAGAGGTTGAATGAGATGATCTCTCCCAGGCTCTGGGTCCCATCATTGTACCATTCTAGAATGGCATGAAGATTAGGAGCTCGAGGTGGGCTCCAGAAAGTGAATTAGCTTTAACGGGAGCTGATCTACCAAGGGCCTCTTCCCCCAGGACCACTGAGCAACCTGAGGTACAACCTCAACGAGGTGATAGAGTCTCTGGGCTGCGTCGTGGAGCTGCAGATCAACAATACCCGTGCGGCCTGGCGTGTCTCCACGGCCCCCTTGAGGGCAATCTTCAAGGACCTGATGGTCAGGACCCTGCAGGGCAAGAGCTAGGGCTCCCTTTCCCATGGACTTCATGTGGGAGCTGTGACCCTGGGTTTGCAGTGTCATGATGGGGGCACTCCTGGCCTTTACTGTAGGATGAGTCCTGGTCCTTGGGCACCACGTGTTGGAGGGCCCCTGCCCCCAGCACTGGGATAGGCTCCACCCGAGCACCAAAAATATCAGAGATTGGGGGCCTGGGTCTTGAGGAGTTTGGAAGATTTGAGAGAGGGGGGATGAGGGAACTGGGTATTGGAGGGCTAAAGACTGGAGGTTGGGAGGATGGAGGAAGTTGATGAGCTGGGGGGAGAGGGACTGAGAAGTCAGTGACATGGAGATGACAGAGTGGGAGAGAGCAGCATGAGGTGTGAAGTCCAAGGACTGGGGCGATCTTTGACTAGCAAGGATCTGGGGTGGGGGCCTGAGTGGGAGCTGGGAGCCTGGGAGGTGAGCGAGCAGAGGTGTGAGGCAGTAGAGGAAAGACTTCCTGAAGCTTCTAGAATTAGACCAGGGATCTCTGTAGGCCTGGGTAACCGCCCAAAGCTTAGCTAATGGGGGAGACAGACAGGCCCTCAGATGCTCTGAAGTCCCATTCTTGACTTGTGTGCCCCATGCCCCCTCCATCCTCTCCACCTTCAGAGCAACAAAGAATCACTGAAAGCCGAGACTCAGGACATCCTCAAGTCCTTTGAGAACCTGGATGTGCAGGTGAAAGGTGAGGTGGGCTACAGGTCAGAGGACGCCGTGGGCTCACAGGAGACAGGCCACAGGGCACAGCCCCTCCGAGCCCGCCTCTCCACTCAGAAGATGTACGAGCTCAAAACCAAGCTGCGCTGCTCCTGTGAGGAGTGTCCGGGGGCAGGGCGGGAGTGGGTGGGGGGGGCTCCAGGGCCAGACGTGGGGAGCTCAGGCCCTTTGCCCCTTCCCGCAGATGTGGTGAGCAAGGCCATCTCCAGCTGCCATGATTGGTTTAACCAAAAGCATAAACAGTGCATGCAGCGCATCGGGGTCCCGCTCTTCAACTTCCTGCTCTGCCTTCCCATGAAGTTCAAGTTCTTCTGTGACATTGCCAAGGGTCAGCACAGCAGCAGAAGGGTGGGGTGCACCGAGGGTAGAGAGTTGAATCCTTGGGGACCACTGGTAGGTGTGGGGGCAGGAGAGTGTAGAACTCGGCACCCTCTAAGCCTGGCCCCTCCACTGACTGTTCTGTGACCCCAGCTCTGAGTTTGAGTCAACACAATGACGGCATAATAGTGCTTATCTCATTAGGAGTTTTTGAGGATTTAGGGAGATAATAATGTGAAGCAGGTAACAGAACTGGCACTATAAATTGCTAAATGTTGGTTATTATTATTCTGGTCGTAGACATGTGAAATGATGGGGACTGGGGACGAGCAGGCTCTGTTCTGGGAACAGGCATGTAAGGAAAGTGGGTGTGGGAAGACCCACCATGGTAGAAAGTCATGGGCAGAGAGATAAAAACAGAACAAAGAAGATCAAGGTTGGGGAGGCTGGCAGGAGGTTGTGGGGGGCCCCTGACCTGGCCCCACTGCCCACAGTGATGGAGATTTGGTGCCGCAGTCGCATCCCAGTAGAAGGCAACTTTGGGCAGACCTATGACTCCCTCAACCGGTCGATTCATGGCCTGGATGAGGAATTTTCAGCCACTATTGACATCAAGGTAGGAGGCAGGGGCTTGGGTGGTGGGGAGGGCATGAGGAAGGGCAGGTGAGAGGGCCTGGCCAAGTAGTGAAGGCAGGGTCAAGGAGGGGTTGACACCGGGTGACAATGGGGGGAGGGGGCTTGGGGGTGAGAGAGCAGGGAGCCTATCGATCTTTCCTTGGGACAGAATGGAAAATCGGGGGTGATACTAGGCACAGGGGTGCTATGTCAAAGAGGGTGGCGCCCAGCCCAAAGCAGTAACTGCTGAGAGAGTCAGGGGGCCCCGGGAGGAGCCTGCACGGAGACTCTGGGTCCGGGGTGGGAGGAGGCAACAGGACACTGAACCCCCCACCAGGAAGAGAAGCAGGCTGTGCTGGTGGGCACCAGCCCAAACTGGGAAGATGTGAGCACCGAGGTGGGCGACTACGTGAGACGCCAGGAGGCCCAGCTGGAGTGGTCCCTGGGGCTGCTTCGTGCACTGCTCTCCTGCACCTTCCTGCTGGTCCTGCGAGCGTGAGCCACCCCCACCCCACCCCACCCCCGCCCCGCCCCACCCCACCCCGCCCCTGCTGCTTTGGGGTTGAGCCCTGCCCAGGGTGGGGGTGAGGGGGGCACCAGGAGACAGAAGCACAGCCCCTCCCCCTTCCAAACCTGAACATGAATCTTCTTGTGTCTGTAACTCTGCCTTTTTATCAAGTTGAGCTCCTTGCTTACACAAAGTAAAGGAAACGGGGACGTTTTGTCAGGAGAAATGCTACCCATGTCCCCAACACCTTAAAAGGACAACTGTCTTCATTTATCTACCTTCTTCCAGCCTTTATCCCAACGTTGACTTTTTTACTTTTTGCTTTGACTTTTGATTTTTTTTCTTGCCCTTCATATTCCCCTTGGCTCTGACTTTGTGCCATTTTTATCGTTCAATTCTGCTTTCATTTTCTCCCGCCTGCTGCGTTGGCAGCTACTTTCCCTCCATTTGGACCAAAGTCCCTAACCCCACCCAGCCTGGCGTCCAGCTGGGCTGTCCCAGCCTCACTCTGTTTCCCTGCTGACCTCTGGACCCTCCATTTCCTGTCTCCACCCCCACATGCCTGAGATGGGCAGGGGATGGGCAAGGGCAGCTGCAGGGGCTCTCACTCAGTCTGCAAATTTGTGGGACCTAGAATGACTGCAAGTGAGTGGTTACGTGTGTCCCCAGGGTCCCGTGGGAGGACAGATGTGGAAGGGGCATATTCTTGTCCGCAGGAAGCTCTTGGTGTAGGGGAGGCAAGAGAGACCCCATAAAACAGAGGTGGTTCAGGGGCTGTACTAAGGATTGGCTCTCATGACAGGTGTGGGAGCTGAGGCAGCGCCCCTGGAAGGGCCACAACTGGGCTGTAAGGGCTACGGATGGGGAGCTGTGGTCAAGGAGAAGGAGGCTGTTCTCTTGGAGGAGGACCCCAGCATCTGTGGGATGTGGATGGCAGAGGTTGGGGTGGAGGACTGGGCTGAAGTTAGCATGGCCAGAACAGTCTGGAAAGCCCTGATGATTACAGGATGGACAGGGGCTGCAGGCCAGGGTAAGTCAGAGTGGGGCGTGGCAGGAAGTTGGACCGAGATGCATGGAGGAAGGGGAAAAGGGTAGCAGGTCTCAGAGCCAGCCTGGGGAGGGAAGGAAGGAGGCACAGAGTCAAATCCACTTCCGGGCTTTCAACCTGGGTGAGGTCACTCGCTGAAGGGGCAAAGCTGGCAAGAGGGCAGGACCCAGACTCAGGAGACCAGACACAGCAGCTGTAGGTCTCTCCACAAGGGGGCGCTCGCAGCCTTTCTACTTGTAGTTCTCGCTCTCTTACAGGCAAAGATGTGGATTTTACAGGGTCCCAGAACCAACAGCATTGGAACTTAACTTTCACAGTTTACAGAGCTTATTTAATGTAATGTTACAGTTTTAAACACATTTCCAACAATTAACATTTTCCCCCAGGAAAATGGGACTTCGGGAAATACACAGAGAGCGATTTAGGCTCACTCATACTGGCACGCACGTGCGCGTGCGCGCACACACAGAAAGCACTGGTACACTCAGAGTGTATCGGGGAAAGGGGAAGGGGGGTCGGGCATGGGTTTTGCTTGAGGTGACCTCCAGGAGATGTATGTGGGCTCACCGGAGAGGCAGGAACTGAGAGGTAAATGTGGGGGTCAGAACAAGGTCAGGTGACTCCGGCCTTAAGAGGCTTTTGTCTCTGTGCATTCGCTCCTGCTGTCTCCTCTGCTTGCTCTGTACCCTGCAAGAGGCGCCTCACACACATGCACTTGCATGACCCTCCCTCCAGCACCTCTGCCGGGTCTCATCTGTCGCAGGTCTGTCTTTCAAAGGACCCTAGGCTGCCGGAGGACAGGGTGGGGTCTTCTCCTAGGACATAACTGGTGCAAGAGCAATCGACTGTTGGGCTGGATGACGTGCTCTAGAAAGCGTATGATTGAGGTGGGGCCGGTTATGTCCACAGGTGCTTCACCTATATGGACAGCTATAATGAGGACATTCGCTTCGACAACATCTATATCAGCACCTACTTCTGTCAGATTGATGAACGCAGGAAAAAGCTGGTGTGTGAGCCCAGCCCTAACCTAAATGCCTGCTGTGCACCCTCACGCTCTAGTTGGGGAAAGGGAAAGAGGAGGGGCCCCTTGCTTTCCTCAAGGTGTGGCTATTTTTCCAGGGCAAAGAGACTCTGCTACCACTCCGCAAAGTGGAGGAGAAAACCGTCATCTTCCCCCTCAAACCTGCTATCCAGGCCACGGAAATGAAAAATATGGTGAGGATGGCATGGGGCAAGCCCCCAGGAACCCACTATAGACAGAGACCTGAGGGGTGGAGGGCAGAGGTGTTGGTGGCCCCACACCAGGCCCTGCACCCCTAGTTCCATCCTGCCGCTCCTGGGCAGGGCAGGGAGCTATTAGAGACGGTGCCTGTCCTGCTGCTGCTGCTGCTGCTTTGCGTCCTGGACTGGGCGCTCTTCTCCATCTTTGACACCATCCGCCAGCACTCCTTCCTGCAGTATTCCTTCCAAAGTGAGCCCACACTCCCCTCACCCCAGGCCCCATGCCTAGGAGACTCCCCACCCCTCCCAGAACTCCCACCCCAACTCTTTCCATTTTGTCACCTCCTTCTGTGTCTCAGGTCCTCCCTGTCTTTCAGGATCTAATCGCAATCCTGTAACCTGACAGCTGTCAGTGGGGACCTCCCCCAACCTTTTCATCTCCAATAGTGGGGGTAGTGTTTAGTGAATCCCAGAGAGTCCTGCTCAGCTCAGGAATATTTCTATGCCTGAGCTTCTCCCCCACATCCAGAGCCTCTCTTGTCTCATTCCCTTCCCTCCCTCTCTTTCCTGACCCCACCATATCTATCCTGGCCTCAGGCAGTCATAAATTGGAGGTGAAGGTCGGGGGAGACTCCATGCTTGCCAGGATTCTTCGGAAGACTATTGGGGCCCTGAACTCCTCCTCCGAGACACAAATGGAAATGAGTAACACACGTGAGTGGTGCTGGAAATCTGGATTGGAGAAATTGAGGGCTGGGGGCAAGGGTCTTTCCAAAGCAAAGAGTTGGGGGCTGGCCTTGAGTGTAGAGAGCTGCGAGTCAGATTGCTCTGCTTAAGGAGAGCAGAGAAAGAAACAGCAGTCAGGCTTGTGGAGCAGGAGAGCGACAGTCTGGGTCACAGGAGTCTAGAGAGTGTCCCAGCCCTCAGGAGCAGCGCTGTCCAACAGAACTTTCTGTCATAACAGACATTTTCTGTCTCAGTGCCAGGTTGAGCAGTCCCAGGTCTAAGGGACACAGTACTGATGGTGCAGCTCTACAGGGCAAGAGGCAGGCAGACCAGGGCCACCCCGCTGGGATGGGGAGTTCTACCAGGCAGCACTGGCCTTCCTCTGGTCCTGGCCAGGATCCTCACCTGCCTGCCCCTGCCCGCAGTCTGCCTGCCCCAGCCCGTGCGCCTGGACACCAAGGCCTATTTCAGGGCTGCGCTACCCATTGGCCTGCTGCTGTGTCTCTGCCTGTTGCAGGCTTTCGGCTACCGGCTCCGGAGGGTCATCTCAGCCTTCTTCTTCCCCAAGGTGCGCCCCTCCCCAGACCTCTCCACCCCTACACATGCATACGCAGGCCCATCCTCACCCCACTCCCTACCCCAACCCCATCTTTAGGGGAGACCTGCTTCCTCAGCATTGTGACTATCACTGGCCCCCTCTCCCTGGCCCCAGAGAGAAAAGAAGCGGATTCTGTTCCTCTACAATGACCTGCTAAGGAAGAGAGCAGCCTTCACCCAAGTGAGGACGGCTGCCATCATAAGGCGGGCACAAAAGCGGAGCGCTCAAGTGAGTCCAGGCCCACACTTGCTGGGTCCAAGAACTGACCCAGCAACTGGGGGAGAGGCATCTCCCTCCAGTCTACCTAGCATCCACCAAGGTCCCAGGCTTACAGGGGCTCAGCGAGCCCCTGCATGTTAAGGTCACCTATGGTCCCACATTTGGAGATTAGGACCGTGGCCATCTCTGTATCCAAGATTCAGCCCAGCCTAGTGGATCATGGAGATGCTGGCAGATTTGACAGTCTGCTCAAAGGAAAATAAGAGGGATTTATCAGGAATACAGAGCCCAAGGCGAAGCCACAAGTTCTACTGGAGGGCTGCGGATCAGAAACTCAGTACAATTCAGAGGAGCAGGACAGGCAGCCTGGGGGGCAGGAATTATACGGAAAGAGCATGGAGTCAGAAGAGCCAAGTTCCAGTCCACACTACCACATTAAGCTGCAGTGTGACCTTAGCCATGGTCATCACCACACCAGTTACTTCCTCCGACAAATAGGGGAGTTGGACAGATCTGGAAGGCCTGCTCTCTAGAGAATGGTGTAGATGGGTCTGGTGTGGGGCTCTACACAGCCAGAGGGCCTGTGTTTGAGTCCTGGCTCCTCCCCTTATTGTCTGACAAGTGTGTGATCTTGAGCACTACTAAAACACTGTGCCTTGATTTTTCCCTTCTGTAAAGTAGAATGAATGACTCCCACTGGTTGTTGTGAGGGCTGAATGAGTTTCATTTTCATGTTGCAGGCACGCAGTAAGTTCTCTACTTGCATTAGTAGTTATTGTGTGACCCTAGGCAAGTGACCACCTCAGCAAGCTTTGGTTTTCTCACTTGAGAAAGAGATGATAATAACAATATCTTCCTTATGTGGTTAGTGTAGAAATTGAGTAAGTTTACTTAGTTTCCTAGGTCATAGCCCAGCATTTATATATATATATATATATATATATATATATATATATACTTTAGAGTGGCATCCAATTTTCATTTAATCAACCTTAACCAAACTCATAAAAACAAGAGACTGTGTTTGCTTAACTTTTCCCCCCCGCGTCGATTCCTTATCCCCCCGATGCACAATAGGGGCTGAGTGAATGTCTAATGAAAATACCCATGGTCTGGTTCTGAAATAACTGAATTTTGATGGGCAGATGGATGGATATGTGAAGGGTATTCTTTCCAAGTAGAGGGAATAGGATGTGCAAAGACTCAAGAGTCCAAAGGGAATAATACCAAACGCCAGGGCTAGTTTAAGAAGCAACTGGCAGAGAGGATGCAACATTCAGGAAGGGGAGAGAGCAGAGGCCAGAAAAGGACCAGATTATGGAAGGCCCTGAAGACCAAGTCTACGAGTTTAGACTTTTGGCAGGCAGTGGGGTGAAATTTCTTGAACAAAGAGTGACCAGGTAAAGCGGCTTGTGGAGAAACATTCCTGGCAATTGTGCATGTAGTGGGGAGCATAAGGAACCAGGCTTGGGATTTGGAATCAGGGTACCTGGGTCCAGCCAGGTTTGTTTATTATCTGTGTGCCTATGGGAAAGTCACTTAACTTTTATGAGCTTCATCTTTCTCATTTGCAAAGTGGGGGACACAATAGTGATATCTTATTTACCCTAATCACTTCTCAGCCCCATCTTAAATGAGAACAACATAAGACTGATTTATGGGAAAGTGCAAATGATGGTTGTTGCTGTTACTAGTGGGGCTGAGTCCAGCTGCATCCTCCCCTCTCCATCGTGGAAGTGGGGATCAGAGGCTCTCTAGAACCCACTTCCATAGTACCCTTGTCCTTCAGGGGTCATCTCTGCCCAATCCAGCTTCCTCCAAACAGGTGACATTGTCAGGCCTAGATATACTGGATTATTAGTGCTGTACAGTTGGGCCTCCCCTGGTGGCAGAGCGGTTGAGCGCTGGGTTGCGAGGCTGCCCGCAGCCTCTGCAGCGCCAGTTCGATCCCCGGCCACCGGCAAGGGTCCCACCAAAAAAAAAAAAAAAGTGCTGTACAGTTGCCCTGAACCCCTCCATTCCCCACTCGCTCCCTAACGGGCTCTAAACCCTCCTCGCTTCCCAACAGCGCCACCACCTGGTCGAAATCCTGCACGGCCGCTGCCCGCTCCTGCGCCGCTGGCTGGGCCGGCGCTGCGTGGTGTGCGATGCCGCCGAGACGCCGAAGTCCTACGTGTGCCCGACCCCGGGCTGCGAGACCGTGTACTGCCCGACGTGCTGGGCCGACATGCGGCAGCGGTGTCCGGTCTGCACGCCCCCGGAGCTGTCCTCCCCCGCCTTCGGCGACAGCGACGAAGACGCTACCTACGCGGAGTGAAGGGCACACGGCTCGCCTCGCAGCCCGCGCCCTCCTGGCTAATAAAAGCGTGGTGCATCCCTGCCGCCGCGACGTGCAGGGGTCCGCGGGAGGGGGGCTCCGAGCTGCCGGCCCCGCAGCCGGGGCCCGGCTCGCCCGCCTCTGCAGGGGGGGCCGCGGCCGTGAGCAAAGCTGTCAGCGAGGGGTACGGACCCAGAGCCGGGAGACAGGACGCCCGAGCGGGTCAGACTGGTTCTGGGGTGCCACCTCGCGCGGCGGCCGGAACGCGGCGGGGCCCAGCAGCGCCCGCGGAGCCGGGGTCGCGGGCCGGGTCCCCGCCTCCTCGGGACCCGGCGGCCGGCGCGGGCGGGGCGCGGCGGGGGCGGGGGCGGGGCTGACTCCGGCGGGTGGGGGGCGGGGCGGGGCCTGGCGGCGGCGCCGCGCGCCGGGGTGAGCGGAACAGACCGGCCGCCGCGACTTCTCCCAGCACCGCCCGGCACCTGCTGCCCTCGCCCAGCCCAGCCCCGGGCTCCGCGGCCATGCGGCTGGCGCTGCTCTGGGCCCTGGGGCTCCTGGGCGCGGGCAGCCCTGTGCCCTCCCGGCCGCTCCCGAACAGAGGTGAGTGCCGGGCGGGGGTGGGGCGCGGGGGACGGAGGGGGTGCGGGGAAGTCGGGAGGCGCTGGGGTCGCCGGGCCCGGAGACCCTGGGAGACCCCAGTCAGAACGCGGCCCGCACTGGCCTGCTGCCCCGGGCCGGAGGCCAGGCGGCTGGACGCCGGCGAGGCGGGCGCGGGAGGGGGATGCCGGCGCGCTCGCGCCAACGTTCCCGGCACAGACGCTTTGGGACTCGGGTACCAGGCGCCCGCGGGCCCGGCCCGGCGCCCCTCACGCCGCTGTTCCTGAGCACGGCGCCTCCGCTGCTGGGGCCTAGCTGACGCTCCACCCGGTGCCAGGGCCCGAGTGGGCACGACTCGTGGGGTTCGGCGAAGACGATTCTTCCTGGGCGCTCACCTCAGGCCTGAGCGGCCGGGCACCGCTCACCCCGCGCGGATGCCGCCAGAAACCAGGCTGAGCGGGAGGAGCCGGGAGAGGAGAGAACTGACCGGGAGAGGCTGGGACACCAGCTCCTCCTTGGAACTTTCACTTCCCGCCGCTGTCTTGGGCTGGGCCGAGAGGGCAGGCGGGAGGAGGGGGTGGAGTGTCCGGAGAAGGGCATTTGGGGGGGGGGGGCTCCGAGAGGAAGCAGGGACTGTGGGTAGCGGGTGTGCCTGGCCGGGCCTGAGGGGTGTTTAGGGAGGAGTGTGTTTGCACTGCTCACCCAGAAATGGGCGTTCCCGCCATCACCGAAGTGAGGGAAGGGGAGGGTGAGTGGGCACAAGGCCACAGGACTGGGCCAAGTCCAGAGAAGGGGGGGGCGTTTCTGGGGGGGCTGACTGCGAGGGAGTGGAACAGGGGGAGGGTTCCTGAAAGAACCTATCGTTGGCCTGAGGGGGGACAGGGAGGGACCACAGACTGGGCAAGCTGAATTTCTTTCTCCTGGTATTTGTGGATAGGCTGGTGGGATGAAAGCACTAAATTGGAGACACCCCCCCCACACACACAGTATTCTCTAAGTCCCAGATGCAATGAAGGAGTCTGTCAGGTGAAAGGGCCTTGATGTGCTGGGAGCAGTGGGTCAGAAGGCACCAGCCATCCCTAGTCCTGGTGTTGATTCTCTCGGTATTCACTTGGGGTGTCCTGGGTACCCTGCAGATGGCAGCGAGGAGGCACAGACAAGACCAGAGGGGGGCCTGAGTGGGTTCTTGGATCCCCAGACTCTTCAGGACAACTTTGCTCTCAGCCTAGTGGAGGTGCTTCAGGTGAGCCTCCCTCTGCCCTCTGGTAAAGAAATACACCACCCACCATCCTAATGCCATATAATCAGGTGTCCCAAGGCAAAGCCTGGCTGAGAGACAGCAGAGCCCAACACCTGGCTTCACTTATCTCCCTCTCCCCTCTCTACACACACATCTGTGTGCTTCAGCCCCACCTAATGCATCTACTGCCACTGGGGAAATTCTGAGGTCAACTGCTTTCTTGGTCTCAGGTTTTCTCAGTGGGTGGACCTGGAGAGGGTCAATGCTTGACCAAATGCCCCCCCACCCCTTGCCCAATTCTAAAGCTGAGTCAGAGGAAGGGCTGGGGCCTCACTAGGTCCTCCATGAGCTTCCTCTCTGGACAGGAAGCTGAGAAGGGGAGGCTCAGATACCTTCCTTGACCTCCCCACACAAACCCCCAGAACAATGCCCCAGGCCAGGCAGGGCTTCCTGGCCCCTCTCTTGGGATCCTCCCACCAGTGATCTAATCACTGGTGCTCTCCTAAGAGCCTGAGGTTTTGTGTTAGAGAGGATAGGAGTTTCTGACAGGGCCAGGGAGGTGACGTGCCCTCTGGTGCCCACAGACCAGTCTGCCTGAGGCCTTTCGGATCAAATTGGAATTGGATGGTGAGAGTCATATCCTGGAGCTGCTACTGAATAGGTAATAATGATAGTGGTGGTGATAATAATAACATGGCTAACAACTTATATAACATTTGCTCCTTGCCAGGTACTTGAATTCACTTAATCCTAACAACTACCCTACAAGATAGATACTATTATATATTATTACTGTCCTTATCTTTATGAAGGCATCAAGACACAGAGAGGTTAAAAAGCTCGCCCACGGTCACAGAGCTTGTGTGTGGTAAAAACCAGATGGAATCAGATAACCTGGAGGTTTGCGGCTTTTGAGCACTATGCTTAGCTGCCTCTGGAAGCAGGAATGTTGGGGTGTGGCCTGATTCCAGACATCCCTCCATCACCCCCAGGCCTCAGCCCATCACTCTGCCACCCTGGAGGCAGCTGATGCTGCCCTACTCGTTCTTCATCCCGCAGGGAGCTAGTCCCAGGCCGCCCAACCCTGGTATGGTACCAGCCTGATGGCACCCGAGTGGTCAGTGAAGGACACACTCTGGTGAGTCAGGCCCTGCTGTGCTGAGCTGCTGGCCTGAGGGAAGCAGGGAGGGAGCAACTGGAGGGTGCCATCCCTGGAAAATGTGGGAGGGCAATGCATCTCTTTCCTGTCAGGCTAGCCCCCTGGGTTCAAATCCTGATCTATCCTTTAAGTCGGCACTGACGTTTCTCTGCTATAGGAGAACTGCTGCTACCAGGGAGGGGTGCAGGGCCATGCAGATTCCTGGGCCTCCATCTGTACCTGCTCTGGGCTCAGGTACAGGGGCAGATTCTGTCAAAATGAAGAGAGTGAGGGTGCATGAGCTGAAGAAGGTTTTGACTTTCTGCATCTTTCCTAGGGGCTTGGTGATACTGTCCCCAGAGAGAAGCTATACCCTCGAGCTGGGGCCTGGGGACCTTCAGGGCCATCCCATGATCTCCCGGATCCAAGACCTCCTGCCACATCACACTTGTGCCCTGAGCAGGCATGCCCGTGTGCCTGCTCAGGCCCCACCAGCTCGGCCCCTGGGACAGCACCGTGTGCACCGGGTAAGGATAGATGGCAGGACAGCTGGGCTTTGGTTGTCTGGCAGGCCACCCTTCGGACCCTCAGAGCTGTTTGTTCACAGGATCACAGCTCCTGCTCATGGAGCGTTTCCATGGACATGCTTGCCCACAGTCACACAGCTAGTGTGTAGTAAAGACCAGATGGAACCCAGATAACCTGGAGGTTTGCAGCTTGAGCACTATGCTTAACTGCCTCTGGAAGCAGGAAGGTTGGGGTGTGGCCTTATTCCAGACACCCCTCCACCACCCCCCAGGCCTCAGCCTATCACTCTGCCACTCCAAAGGCAGCTAAACACTGTCTCCTTTACTCTTCCTAGCACCCAGGATGTAGGTGCTATCAATAGCTCTGTTTTTAAGTGAGAAAACTGGCTCAGAGAAGTTAAATAACTTGCCCTAAGTCATTCAGCTAATAAAGGTATATCCAGAATTTAAATGCAGATGCTTGACCCAAACTCCTCATGTCTATGATCGCAGATGCAGAGAGCTCTCACTTAGGTATAAAAATAGTTACTGATCATAAAGGCACAAAAGCCTAATTTATAAAATGGGGATAATAAAACTACTGACCTTGGGCCTCCCTGGTGGTACAAAGGGTTAAGTACAGCACAATGAAGCTGTTTATAGCCTCTGCAGCATGATTTCAATCCCCAGCCGGCCAGGGAGCTACCCACATGGCACAGCAGACCTCTCCTGTCTCACCCACTGCTCCCCTCAGCAGTGTATTTCAGTCAGTCCGCCTGTTCTCCCCACTCTGTCTCTGGTGAATCCTCTCACCCCCCATCCCCCCACCTCTGGCCAGTCCTTATATGCATAAATAAATCAATCTTTAAAAAAAAAATACAACTACTGACCTTATACATGGCTGTGAAGGTTAAATGAATCAGTGTGTATGTAAAGTACTTATATCTGCATCTGATATATGGTAAGTGTTTGAAGGTGTTGACTATATTATTTCTTTTAAATTTTGGGAAAAGCACCGAATTTGGAGCCAGAAAAGCAGGGCTCAATTCCCAGTTTTGTTAATACTTCTTGGTCCAGCGTGGACAAGTCCCTGGCCTCTTAGGCTCTCAGTGGTTCATCTGTAAAATGGGTTCTTCACTCCCTGTTGGGCCAGCAGGGTGGGAGTGGACACAGCGTGGTCAGCCCTATCTGGCTGCTGGCAGGAAATGGCAGGGCGCCTAACGCTCCTTCTTGTCCACAGTGGAGGCGGGATGTGGTGTCAGAGACCAAGATCGTTGAACTGGTGATTGTGGCTGATCATTCTGAGGTAAACTTGCTGACCCCTGTGTGTGCTCCCCCAACCCTGCCTGCCCTGCTGCCTTTTATGGTCCCCCTCTTTTGATACACAGGTCCAGAGGTACCCAGATTTCCAGCGCCTGCTGAACCGTACACTGGAAGTGGCTGTCCTCCTGGACACGGTATTGGATGGGACAGCCCCTTTATAGTCCCCCGTTGATGGGAACCCCTCTCCTGAGCCCTAGTTTGTATTCAGTTCTTCCAGCCCCTGAATGTACGGGTGGCACTAGTGGGCCTGGAGGCCTGGACCCAGCGCGACCTGGTGGAGATAAGCCTGGACCCAGGTGTCACGCTAGACAACTTTCTCCGCTGGCGCCGAACAGACTTGCTGCCTCGACTGCCTCATGACAGTGCGCAGCTGGTGACGTAAGGCCCCAGGTTCAGCCAGCAACCCTGCTCCATTCCTTCCTGGCAAATTCCATACCCTACACCTCCCTGCCAGAGGCCCTGAAGCCTTGGCCACCTAAGCCTTTGGCCTTGACCTTTCACCTCTGGATCCTACAGTGCTACTGCTTTCTCCGGGCCTGTGGTGGGAATGGCCATTCAGAACTCCATCTGTTCTCCTGACTTCTCGGGAGGTGTAAACATGGTAAGCTATTTCCAGGTCTCTTCCCCATTCCAATTCAGTTCCTCCCAACTGTGGTGTCATTTATTCACTGAACCTCCTACAAAGTTACCCAGTCCTAAAGCTGAGAGGCTATTTGGTGATAAGGCCCTACCATCCAGGTCCCCTCACCAGGGCTGGGCACCAAGTGTACGGTCTTCACCTCTGAAGTCATTCCATTTCTTGGGGGAGGGGTGGGCAACTGAGGCCCAAAGAACAGAGGTAATCTCCCAGGGCTATGCTGGGGGACTGGGGCTTGGGAAGAGGGCCATTGCTGAGCTAGAACCCAGGTTTCCTGCCACCCAGGCCTGGGCTCTATTCCTACTGCAGAAGCAATTGAGGAGGGAGGCAATACCTGCCCAGGAGGCCAGATCAGGAGAGAACAGCCATTAGGTTGGTGCTGGACCTGAGGTATCCTCTCCCCAATAACAGGACCACTCCACCAGCATCCTGGGAGTCGCCTCTTCCATAGCCCACGAGTTGGGCCACAGCCTGGGGCTGGACCATGACTCCCCTGGGAACAGTTGCCCCTGTCCAGGTCCAGCCCCAGCCAAGAGCTGCATCATGGAGGCCTCCACAGAGTGAGTGTCTGCAGATGTGCAGGGGGAATGGAGCAGCAGGTAAGGTGTGGTCTTAGCCCCAACCTTCTCTGCTGCCCTCCCCAGCTTCTTGCCAGGGCTGAATTTCAGCAACTGCAGTCGACAGGCCCTGGAGAAAGCCCTCCTGGATGGGATGGGCAGCTGCCTCTTTGAACGGCTGTCCAGCCTGCCCTCTATGGCCGGCATCTGCGGAAATATGTTTGTGGACCCGGGCGAGCAGTGTGACTGTGGCTTCCCAGATGTGAGCCCCTCAACCCAAGCTTTGCCACATTCATTTCTGTGCCCCCACTAGCCCTCTCTAAGCCTCCTGAGCCCTCTCGTTGTAAGGTCCTCTTGGCCTTTCCTGACTTCCCTGCAGTCGGGACAGCAGTGGGTTGTTGAGCTATAGCTGCTACTTGTGTGGCTGTGGGCATCTTGGAGCTTAGGCTCTGGGAAGAGGGTGGGAGGCTTTGAGCCCCTATCTGCTCTGACCTCCTCTCTCTGTGCCACTACCCTCAGGACTGCACTGATCCCTGCTGTGATTACTTCACCTGCCAGCTAAGGCCTGGGGCCCAGTGTGCATCTGATGGGCCCTGTTGTCAAAATTGCCAGGTGGGCACAGACCAGAATGACCACCCAGAGCTTACCTGCCAGGAGCCTGGGTGGGAAGGATCACTGTGACTTCCAGGGTCTAGCTGGGTTTGCCTGGCACCCACACTGATGCTTATCCACCCTCCACAGCTGCGTCCAGCTGGATGGCAATGCCGCCCCACCAGAGGTGACTGTGACTTGCCCGAATTCTGCCTAGGGGACAGCTCCCAGTGCCCTCCCGATGTCAGTCTGGGGGACGGCGAGCCATGTGGTGACGGGCAGTCTGTGTGCATGCAAGGGCGTTGCACCTCCTATGCCCAGCAGTGCCAGGCTCTTTGGGGCCCTGGGGCCCAGCCCGCCACACCACTTTGCCTCCACACTGCCAATACCCGGGGGGATGTCTTTGGGAACTGTGGGCGTAGCCCTAATGGCAGCTACGTGTCCTGTGCCCCTAGGTAAGTGAGGAATCCTAACTCCTCCTTTGGGTCTGTGGGAGCCTCAGTCCCCCTCCCACTCACCCTGTGCCTCCTAACTCACCCCAGAGATGTCATTTGTGGGCAGCTGCAGTGCCAAAGGGGCAGGGCCCAGCCTCTGCTGGGCTCAGCCCAGGATCTACTCTGGGAGACACTGGAAGCCAACGGGACCCAGCAGAATTGCAGCCTGGTACACCTGGACCTGGGCAATGATGTGGCCCAGCCACTCCTGGCGCTGCCTGGCACAGCCTGTGGCCCTGGCCTGGTGAGCAGCCTGGGTGGGCCAGCCTGGGTGGGAAAGTTAATCTGAGTCCTGGCAGGCAGTGCCCAGGCCTTGCCATCTACCAGTGAGAAGGCGCAGACTCTGAGGCGAGCTCAGAGTTTTCTATCAGATTGATCCAAGTCCTGTCATCCTTGGAGCCTTGGTTTCCCCATCTGTGAAGACGTGATATCACCTCAGCCCAGTTGGCCTCCCAGTGCCAGTAAAGCTCTGCGAAAATGTGGTTTTGTTCTTCCGTCCCTATTGGGCAGGTGTGCATAGACCATCAGTGCCAACCAGTGGACCTCCTGGGAGCACAGGAATGTCGAAGCAGATGCCATGGGCATGGGGTAAGCTGGCCTGGGGGAAATGGATGGGGAGCAAGGAGCCTCCAGGGAGGAAAAGGACGATGAGCTTTAGAAACAGTCATACCTGGCTTCTAATCCTAGCTCTGCCACTTCCTAGCAGTGTGACACGGCAGGTCACTAATCTCTCAGCGCTCAGTTTCCTCATCTGTCCAATGGGCATGATACTAGTCCCCACTTCCTGGGGGATGAGCGTAAGCATCCAACAAAGGGGCTGCACAACGGAGGTACTCAGCATTTAGTGCAGTCTAATTCCCTCCAGAGAGAGTCCCTCTCTCCATGGCTCTGGCTCTCTCCACTCATCATCCCCGCACATCTTCCAGTTGCGCACCTCTGAGATCTGGAAAAGCTAGGGACAGGGAAATGTGGCCCTAGAGTGCAGGGCCCCTCATTGCTCACCCCCTACTTCCTAGGTCTGTGACAGCAACAGGCACTGCCACTGCGAGGCAGGCTGGGCACCCCCTGACTGCGCCACGCAGAGCAGAGGTAGCATGGGCAGGGCGGGGCTGCTGGGAATGCAAGAAGGCCAGCCTTTTCCTTTCCCCCTCTTTTTCTGATCCCTCCTCTGTTAGTTCCTGGTTCTCTGTGGCCCCTGACCCCTTCACTTTCTCCCCGTGGCCTCCCCGGGGGTAGCACTTATCCCTGTTAACCTTCAACCCATCCTCTACCTGCAGCGACAGGCTCCCTGACCACAGGGCTGCTCCTCAGCCTCCTGTTGTTGCTGGTCCTGGTGCTGCTCGGTGCCAGCTACTGGCACCGTGCACGCCTGCGCCAGCGACTCTGCCAGCTCAAGGGACCCAGCTGCCAATACAGGTACCAGTCTCCCTGCTACCAGCTCCCTCCACAGCTCTGTGGAGGACAGTTCTTGAGCCCCATCTCCTACAACACCTGCCACCTGGTTCTGCAGCACAATCCACTTGCCTCCCTCCCCTATATGCCCTGTGACACCTCACCTCACGTAGACCACATGGGGCAGCTAGGATGCCTAGGTCTCCTAGCCTCAGGCTATTTCTTCCCTACCCTTGATTTGACCAAAACAACACACAGGCTCACCCAAGGGGCTGCAAACGGTTAACCTGACTTGAGTCGTGTGTGGGTGGAAAACTGGGTCTGAAGCTGAACCTCTCCCTCCTTGCCTTTCTCAGAGCAGCCCAGTCTGGTCCCCCAGAACGTCCAGGACCCCCGCAGAGGGCCCTGCTGATGCCAGGCGCCAAGGTGAGTCCAGGATGCCAGGGGAGAGAGGGGGCCTCCTTGGCCAGGCATCCAGCTTGGGCCCTGGGGGCTGGAGTGGGGTATTGACAGCTTTAGATTAATAGGCCCAAAAGTCAATCAAAGAAGTCAGGGCCAGCCTTCCCTCCCCCTGGCTACAGGAGAGAAGCAGAGTACAGCCAGCCCGGAGTGGGGAGGGGCAGTCACCTAGAGGAGGGTCTGCTGAGCTCTTTGAGCTGGCCAAGCTGGTGGCTTTGAGAGGTGGGTCTACCGGTGCTCCGGGCAGTGGATCCTCAGGGCAAGGGTGGTGGTACTCAGAACGGCCTTCAGTGTACTAGGACCCGAGGACACCCAGGTGACCATGTGTAGAAGGGCCGGTGAGTGCCGCTGCCCCAGTCCACTGGGTCTGATGACAGGAGGATGTGTGTGCCCCCACCACCACTTTTCACCATTCTGCATGCAACTGAATAACCATGCATAGCCTCCCCCCCCCACCCCTGGGCCTAGCTGCCCCTCCTTGGGCACTAACCCCTCTCTGCCCACATCTGTCTTTCTGCTCCCCCCTCCCCTGTGCTGTCTGCTTCTCCTGCTCTCTTAGCAGGCTAGTGCTCTTTCCGGCTTTCCGGCTCCCCCCTCCAGGCCGCTGCCTCCTGACCCTGTGCCCAAGAGACTTCAGGTAAATCTGGGCCAGACCCACCCTTGCCCAGGGCAGGTGGGAGGCTTGGTGCCCAGCTGCAGCTCTCATCCCTGTTCCCTGCCAGTGGTGCTCTTCATTAGGGGACCAGGGTGCTCCTGAGCCTTCAGACACTCACCCCAGAAGCAGCGAAGGGTGAGCCTCCTGCCTTGGTTTCTGCTGCCACCTGGTGGTCAGTGGCAGGACTGCAGCTGGCCAGGGACATCACAATGTCACACGCCTTCCTCCCCCAGACATCTGCTGGCATGCATCCAAGACTTTAGTGCATGTCCCCATTTTCTCCAGCCCCCTGGCTGACTTTGCATGTTGACCTAAACCCCTAGGGAGAACCTCTGCATGCCCACCACCCCTGGCTGTGCTCTCACCAGCCACTGCTCCTCTCTCTGTTCAGGCTGAGTTGGCTGACCGACCCAATCCCCCCACCCGCCCTCTGCCCGCTGACCCGGTGGTGAGGCACCCAAAGGTAACAGTGGGGGTAGAAAAGGGCGCAGCCTCTTCCCCCACCCAGGGCTGTGTGGCCTGTAGCAGTTGTGGCAAGATGTCCTCTGTGCCTGAGGTGGATTCTTTAATGGTGACAGGTCTGTTTGGATACAAAGCTGGTCTCTGGTGCTGCCCCCCATGCTGGTGTTCCCCAGCACCAGTGCGATGGGGTTGGGCAACATGACATCCCCTCTCAAACTGGCCTTCTCTCTCAGTCTCAGGGGCCTGCCAAGCCCCCACTCCCGAGGAAGCCACTGCCTGCTGACCCCCAGGGCCGGCGCCCTTCGGGTGACCTGCCTATTACAGGAGCTGGAATCCCTCCCCCCATGGTACCTTCTAGGTAGGCGAACCCGACACTGAGGATGGGTGGGTGAGGTGAGAGGGCCTGGGAAGCTGGACCTCGACTTTTGTCTCTGTCTCCCACACCGCAGGCCTGCACCACCGCCCCCAGCTGCGTCCTCGCTCTACCTCTGACCTCTCCTGAGGCTCCGCTGCCTCTAGACCGGACCTAGGACTTAAAGAGGACGACCGGCCCCCTAGAATCCCCCTCAAAGACTGAAGGAGTTGGAGCATGGACATGACGGTGCAGGCGTCTGAAGACACAGGCACCTCTGGGTGCTGTGGAGCGGCACCCTGGGGACCGGCTCACTCATTTGCAGCCGGGGATTGGGGAGGAGCTGGGTTTTAGACGGGACTGCGGGAGTTGCGCACAGCTGTCTCTGCTCGGTTGCAATAAACTGGCTATCTGGGGAGCGCCTCCGAGTTGGCTCTATGAAGGTCGGGTCGCCCCTACTGCGGTTCCAGGTCTGGCCGCCAGGAGACGCTGCTGCCTCAGACGTAGACTGGAGAGGGAAGGCAAGCGTCCCAGGCTGGGTCGGCGTGTGTCGCGGGGATGCTCGAGGCTAGCTCCTGCCCAGTGTGGGATGGCGCGCGGCGAGCCACAGGCGGTTGTACGCCCCTACCACCTTAGTCGCCAAGCCCTCATCCGATGCAGCGCGACCTCTGGGGGCGGCTCTGGACAAACCGGCCAAGCCAATGGACCCGCCGTCCCCACCCTCTGACCAGTGGCTGGGAAAAGATCTGGCTAGTGTTCTCAGAGCCACGGAGCCAGGGCGGAGCGGGGCGGCGGCTCTCAAGATCCCAAGACCGCGCACCTGCCTCCTCCCCCTCGTACGCCCCCACCTGAGGGCTCAGGAACAAAGGTGCTTTGTACAGGCCGCAACCACCTCATTATGTCGTTTAGAGATTGGGGCCGTGTGGGCCCCCAGCCCAGAACGAAGGTGCTGGGCGGAAAGGTGCCCCAAGGTGGGCAGCAAACTCACCACTTAAGGCTCTAGAATGCCGTAAGGGAGGCAGGCGGGAGGCAGGAGGTGGTCTGTCCCTTCCCCTCGCTCTCCCTGGAGGTACAAAGGGAGGCTGGACGGTGTTCGCTGATGCTCTCCAGACCCTCACTTCTGGGTAAAGGGCATGTGTCCGAATTTAAATCTTCCAAACTTCTAATACGACTCTCTACCCGGCACTAATGCAGACACTAAGGACAGGCTCTCCCTGGACACAGCACCTAGGTGGGGGAACACGTCCCCTCCCCGCCGCCTCGCAGGGCGGTCGAGCCTCCTCAGGCGCTGGAGCCGCGCTCGCCCCGCGGTGCACAGCGGGTTAACGAGAGTTGGTGCTGAGCGGAGAGGCGGGGACGAGCTTCCATTGGTGGAAAGTTATTCGGAGGCGTGACCTTGGGGCTCCGCACCCCACCCCCTTCCCGCAACCCCCACCCCCTCCACTTTGTACCTTTCTCGCGGCGACTGCGAAGCGGGCCGGGACCGGCCGGACCAGACCGGACCGGACCCCGGGGGCGATGCGGCTGCTGCCGCTGCTGCGGACTGTCCTCTGGGCCGCGCTCCTCGGCTCTCCTCTGCGAGGGGGCTCCGGCCTCCGCCACCCCGTCTACTGGAACTCCAGTAACCCCAGGTAGCCGGGCCGAACCCGGCGAGGGCCAGCGGGGCCTGCGCGCTCCTGGGCTGGGCGCGCGCCCGACACTCGCTCTGAGCGCGGCGTCGCCTGGGCCCGACCGCGCGCCGGGGCTCCTTTGTTTGAGTCGGCGGGGGAGGGGGGAGGGGGAGGGGCGAGGCACGCCCTGGGTCTCCCCCCCGCCGCCCGCACTTGTTGGGGGACGGGCGGAGGGCCCCAGCCCCTAGGGCGGTCGGTGGGATCTCAGAGCCGGGAACTGGGGGCCCTCGGCCGGCTCTTCGAGCCCCGCCCCCTCGCTTCTACCCGGGTGATCCCCGACCCTCCTCCGGCCTGATAGGGGGCCGTGGACTTGAGAGGAAGAAGGGGGCTGCTCTGTGGAGAAAGCGTGGGTTACTCTTCTGCCTACTGGGCCCCCCGCTGACGCAAGCTCTGTCTCCCAATTCCTTCGGTAGCTCTGCTTTCTTCTCGGTCATCAGCAGCCCTTCTTTTCTGTCCAGTCTCAACCCTGACCTCCTTAGCTGCTTTGCGCAAGCCGTTTGACCTTCCTGACCTCAGTTATCTCATCTGTAAAATGGGCTAATAATACCCAGTACCCTGGGAAATCAGGCGGGCTGACTGAGGTCATGTGTGTGAAAGAGGCGCAGGCTGTACAAATACAAGCTATTATTTCCCTCCCTTCAGCTGCCTGCCTTTGAACCTGGTATTTTTACTGTTTCCATCTTCCTTCCCCGTTCTCCCTGCCTCTCTTTGCTTTCTCCATCTGTTTTCCTTTCTGATTTTCTCCTTGAGACAATCTGTGACTGTCCATTTGTTCACTCACTCACATTCATTAAGCGTGTGCTGTATGTTCGACCTGTGCTAGGGTGCTGGGGATTCCAGAGATAGAAATCTAGACTCTGCCCTCCGGGAGCTCAAGACCCCCTGGGAGGGCAAGCGTCAAGACAGGTCATTACAATACCAATGCTGTGTAATAAGAGCTATTGTTATTCTCCAGCTCCGAATTCCTCTCTCTGTTCCAGACCAGTGCCTCTGAATCACTGGGGGGATGTGTAAAAATTCAGGTTCCTACCCACCAACCCTGAGGTTTCTGTTCCATTCATTCAATCCACAAATATTTATTGAGCGCTGTGCCGGCACAGACACTTTTCCAGGCACTGGGGAGACTGTGGAACAACACATATAACATACAAAGGCTCAGCTTCTGTTCTAGGAGCTCTGAGCTGAGCCCCAGAATCTGCATTTCTAATCAGAACTTCTGAAGCAGGTGGTCCTGGGACCACCCATTGAGGAATAGCTGGAGGCCTTTCATAAGTCAGGCGGGGCTGCATGTATGGTGAGCAGGGGCAAAGCGGTACTGGCTGTATTTGATGCTGTGGAGGCAGCCTGTCCCAGTCAGGTCCCCCCCACCCCCCAAGCAGCACCCAAAACGTGGGGAAGGAGATCCTGGGAAGACTGCAGAGTGGGTGGAAAGGGTATATGGAGGGGACTTCTCTCCTGGTCTGGCATTTCCTTGTCCTGGGGGGAAAAAAGGGAACACCCAGCATGCACCCCCTCGTTTTTTTTTTCTTTCCCATGGTGGTCTTTTCAGCATTGGCTTGAGGTCTAAAGGGCAGCTTTTTTCCTTCTGCATCTGCTAATGAGGATACTATTCCACGTCTCCAACTCTGCATCTGTGACTACACTGTGGGCCCAGATATGGGCCCTTTACTCTGCATTCCTGCTGCTTCTCAGCAACTGTTGACCTAACATTTATCAGACACAGGTGCTAGTCCAAGCCCTGTGTCAAGCGCTGGGGCTAGGGGCTCCCACTTGAAAGGTAGGGTATACCCTTCTCACATTGGAGCCACGTGGTTGTGGGCATGCAGTGCCTTAATCTCCAAATCTGTGACTTGGTTACCTTTTCCATTCCTTGCACTCTTTGCTTCTCAAAAAAAAAAAAAAAAAATTTGTCAGTGTAGCAGGGTCAGGCTGACCTACCACTTCACCAGGGGTGGGGGAAAGGCTCACAAAGACCCCATGGGACAGGGTATCTCCAACCCTCATGCTGGAGTGTGCTGTGCCATAACACTTCAACCCACACCTGCTTCACGCCTGCAGGCTGCTTCGAGGAGACGCTGTGGTGGAACTTGGCCTCAACGATTACCTAGACATCTTCTGCCCGCACTATGAAGGGCCAGGGCCCCCTGAGGGCCCTGAGACATTTACCTTATACATGGTGGACCGGCGCGGCTATGAGACCTGCCAGGCTCAGGGCCCAGGTGCCTTCAAGCGCTGGAGGTGCTCCCTTCCCTTCGCCCCTTTGGGCCCCATTCGGTTCTCAGAGAAGATTCAGCGCTTCACCCCCTTCTCCCTTGGCTTCGAGTTCTTGCCTGGAGAAACCTACTACTACATCTGTGAGTGAGGAAGGGCACACTGATCGACTCTTGGGGATGGTGGGGAGAGGCATGAGGCTTCCTGCCATTGCCAGCTGCCAAGGCAGAGAGCCTGAGGTGAGAGGGAAGGAGAAGGCTGGGAATGCAGGCCAGGCCTGGGGGACTGGGGGAGGCGACGCTGACAGGTGCCATCTAGAGTGAGTCTGTTGAGAGAAAGAGACTGTAAAAAGGCATTAGGAAGGGAATGACGGGGGCGGGGGGAGGGGGAAGCAAGGAGGGGCGTGATGGGGCCTGGCACCTAGGTGTGGCCCAAGAGGAAGGAGAACTGGGAGAGAAGAGCAGCTGGAGGGTCTGAAACAGTCTGAGGTGGGCAAACTAGCCTGTGCTAACTTCTTCCTCCCAATTTCCCACCACCCAGCGGTACCAAGTCCGGAAAGTTCTGGCCAGTGCTTGAGGCTCCAGGTGTTTGTCTGCTGCAAGGAGAGCAGTAAGTGGGCTTGGGCACAGGGAGCAGCCCCTCTGGCTCCTGTAGGGCCCTGCGGCATGCGGGAAGGAGGGGGGAAGAATCTGGGGGGCTTCAAACTGTGGCCTCTCCTCCCTCATTTAGCCGTATGATAGCTTTTGCCACACCCTTTCATGCTGGCCCAAGGGAGTGGCACTTCCAGGGGCAAGAACCTTCAAGGTCTTAGCTGACCTGGTTGTCTCTAGTGACAATTTTGGGGGATACTGGAGTTTGGGCTTAGAGAAGACAAAGTGGTAGGCCGTGGGAAGGGAGTGGCTGGTTCCCTATTGGGCAACAGTAGAGAAAGGGAGTGAATAGCTAATGGGGAGGCTGCCGAAGTGGGGGGACCCATCCATACTACCCTTCCCCCTCACAGGGTCTGAGTCCGCCCATCCTGTCGGGAGCCCTGGAGAGAGTGGCACATCTGGGTGGCAAGGGGGGGGCACTCCTAGCCCCCTCTGTCTCTTGCTGCTGCTGCTGCTCCCAATTCTGCGTCTCCTGCGAGTTCTCTGAGCCAAGCAGACCCTCCCTGCCTCCCCCAGGAGCCAGAGCCTCCCAAGACTCTCTGCAGCAGGGGCCCTGCCACCTGAGCTGGGAGTGCCAGAAAAAGCCAGACAGACAAGGTGGAAGAGAGGGAGAGGTCAGAGGGTCTGAGGTGACTCTAAAGTGCCAGACCCCTCATCACTGGCTGAAGAGGAGAACAGGGAAGCTGTAGACGGCCCTGGGCATCCTGGAGCCGAGTCAAGACCAACATAGGGTCTCTGTCAGCTGCTTTGATGGTCTCATCCCATCCCCCAGGAGGACTGTGATTTGTGAGATCGCACTCTTGAGCCTGCTGGGGCCCAAGGCTGAAGACCTGGGACAGGTGGATTGCCAGACCTGGGCCAGGCTAACCATCTGTGCCCAGTGCCTTGTGGCCCTCTTCCCTGGGGCAGCACCTTTCCCTCCCCAGGAGGTCACTCTGTTGTCTTCTATGAAGACGGATCCGCCATAAGTTTGAATTTCATGTCAGTTTGTATTTTTATAAGTGTGTGGACCAAACCCTCAATAAACCACCCATCTTTTTGTTGATCTCCCCCACCCACTGCCCTCTGGCTCCTTCCCTGACACTAGCACTCCCTACAGCCTGTGCTCACAGCCGGACTTGGCCTGACCTCCATGCCAGCTGTGCCCAGGCCATCCATGCCAGGCCTCAGTGGGCACCCCTCTAGGCAGTGTGGGGTGGTGCCAGCAACAGCTGTGGAGCTTGGCACTCTCCCACCTCCCTAGTTGGCTTCCTGTAGCCAGGAGGGGCAGATGCTCCTGACTGTCTACCCACTTGGGGCACTGCCCCCACTCTGGTAGCACCAAGCTGGCCATTGGGGCATAAGCAAGGGGCAGTAGGAAGACAACACCTGGATTTCAGAATGCCTGGGTCCCTGAGAGCTAGGCTTCCCTCCACCTCCCCTAGGGCACTCTGGGCGGTGGCTGGCCTAGAACTGGGGAGGTGGGGTCAGATCAAAGCCTCCTTCCCCAGCGGCCTCTTTGTTCTTAGCTTTTATAAGGAGGAGGAGGTGGGGCTGAGGAGGGAGGGCCCCCTTTGCTCCCAGCCACACTTAGTCTCTCCCACCTCTTAGGCTAGGTTATGATTCCTCTATGTCCTACGGAGACCCTCTTTCTGAAAGGTGTCCTAAGTAGAGAGAGGGTAAGGGGTGCCCCTTCCCCCGAAGCTACACCCTACCCAGCCCGGTGCCCCGCAGCCTCCACTGGCACAGAGCCGGCCCGTCTGGCTCGGGTCCAGCGATCGATAGGTGGATGTTGTGCTGATTAGCTCGGCCCGGCTGCGGCAGCGAGAGGCAGCGTGTGAACACGCGGCAGGGAGGTGGGGGGTATGGGGGAGGGCGCGGGGGTCCAGAGACTGACAGACACCGACATGGTGGAGATGCAAACCCCTCCCCCATCCCCTTCAACACCTAAGTCAGACCCTGATCCCTCTCGGTTGATTCATGGCTCTGACTGAAGTCTGGGGTGGAGGACAGCACCGTGGGCGGAGCAGACACCAGCCGACCCTGTCCTCCATTCGAGGCCACTTTCTAGAAACACGGTGTCTGTAGGTGGGTGTGCTGTGTTCATGTGTCAGCACCCTCACCCCAAACCACGATCCTCAGCTGGGATGTGGAGGGGGTGGAATCTGAGCTGAAGGATGAGCTATATGGGCTTGGTCTTCTAGTCCTGGGTTCCAGTCTACTGTCATCCTGGAGGGTTCTGCATGTCGCCTTGGAAACCGATTGTATTGCTACCTCCGCCCCTCTTGAGTGAAACAATGGGCGGGGCAGGCAGGGACGATTGGTTGCTAGAACCTTGCCCTACACTGAAGACTGGGGGGGGTCCCGCCCTGCTCCCAGCGGCCCCGGACACCCCCATCCTAGCGGACCCAGCCGCCGCGCTCGCTCCCGAGTCTGGGGCTGGCGCGCGGATCCGCGGCTGGTAAGAACGCATGTGCCAGAGAGCGCAGGGCCGGTCGGCTTCTGGGCGCTCAGACGCACGCCCTCACTCTCAGTCAGACGCGCACGCTCGACACAGACACACACCCTCGCCTGCCACCCAGCTCCCCGCAGGTGCGAGGGCAGACGCCTGAGTAACTGCAGACTTGCGCAGGGGGCTCCAAAACTTGGACCCAGTCGGCCGCAAGCCTCAAGCCAAGCCAGCGCTCTCTGCACTCACTTCCTCATGGCCTTGACCCCGCGCAGACAGGTGATTCTGTCCCGGGGTGCGACGGGGTGAAAAGCGAGGGCCAAGTCCACTCATGGGGCCGAGATCGACCGAAGGCGCTGGGCTGTCTTCCCGGACTGGCCCTACCCGTGAGAAATCCTCGAGGCTTATTCCCGGGCGCGGTTCCAAAAGGCTAAGCAGGCCTGCAAGTTTTGGGGCGTCACCGATCTCCCCTAAAGTCAGCAGCACTAGGCGCGGCCCTCAATTCGCTGGGCCTGCCTTAGTCTCCTCGGAACAGATAGGAAAACTCTCCCTCATTTTGCTCACTGGATCTCACTGTCGGGACACCAGGAGAGCCCCAGTCTTTGATCCTAGCTCCTGCTCCACACTTTAATGGGCTGCATAGCAACCCTCCTTTCCGAGAGGCTAAACCCTAAAGTTTGGATCTTTTTATGTAGCCCCTCTCTTTTTCCTTCTCCCCTTTCATGAATTCCTCAATTTTTTTTCTTTATTCATTCATTCAGCAACTGTGAGCTCCAGGCGCACCCTTCTTGTACTTGACCACACCAGCTGGGGTCCTCAGGGGATTCCCAGCGGTGACATAGTTCCAAAGAGCCAATAGAATCCTGGGGCCTGGGGCATGAGGTCATCATTGATGGTGCCCATTGGTTCAGGTGTGAACGTGGGGGAGGGGGTCCCCATAGCAACTGACAGTGCGTCCAAGGGTAACCTGGAGAGTGATCACAGCTTGAGCTCTCGTGGCAACTTGGTGGTGCTTGGGATGGGGACAGGGAGGCTGGGGAAGAGCTCAGCATCCCAAGTCTTTCAGCCCTAGCCCAACTAAGCTGTCATCTTGATACCCTATTTCTCAGTCAAATGGTCAGTGCCTCTTCACCCAAAAAGGCTAGGAGGAGGGGAGTATTTGCGACAGCCTTGAGGTCCTGGGTGTGGGCTGCCTCCACCTGGAATGTTAATTCTGAGATTCTCGTGCTCATCTGCATATCGTCTGCATCTCATTTGCATTCTCTTCGTTTAAGGTCAAATTGGGCAGACATCTCCACATGCCCAGCCCTGTCGCTTGTCTGTATCCAGACTCCATCCCTTAGTGGCTCTGTAACTCTCAGTTGTCCAGTTCCTTACCTCACCCCTCTTCCCAACTTCCAGTGTCTCTAGGGGCCTGGGGGCGCTGCCTGGCCAAAGGAGAGAAGATAAGTCTGTCTCTCCCTCTGGATGTTTGGTGACAGATGGGGAGGGCTGGTCTGTACAGCCTGGAGACTAAATTGGCAAAGCAAATGGGAGGGGGAGGTGACCAGGGCTGGGTTGAGGGTCTCCAGGGCCAAATCACCCACACGCCTGGCAGGGTGCTGGAACTAGGGAGGCCTGCTTCCAGCAAGGGGCAGGCCTGCCCACCTGTCTGGTGCCAGCACAGCTTCCTTCCTCCAATTAAACACTAATGAGGTGTCATTAACCCTTACCTTGCCGGCCAGCCCTCAGGTGGAACTCAAATTCATGGTCTCACACTGAGGGTAGAGGGAGAAGGGAGGGCCTCTGAGGAAGCTGAGAGGCAGTAAGGTCAGAGGATCAGGAGACACACGAGAAGGCAGGGCCTGCAGCGTGAGGAGCAGGCACTGATTATCCTGTGCTGCTGAGGGGTTCTAGGCATGGGTGTCTCACTGTCAAAATGCATTTATTCTTCTGTTCATCAATTGAACAATTATTTAGTAAGCACCTTCTCTGCTTCTACTGACTAAATACCAGGCTGCATGCTAGATGCTGGGGATACACGCTTGCATAAGACAAGATCCCTTCCCTTAAGGACTCTTCAGATTACTTGAGAAGACAAACTGGCCAACAAATAATTATAATGCCAAGTGCAAATGCTATTATAGAGTTGCGCACAAAGTGCTATGGGGACACAGGGAAATTGGGCTGTTCAGAGAAGGATTGGGTTTTGAAGGACAACATTTATGGCAGGGAGGAGATATGTAGCTAATAACGCTCATGTGTTTAATTCAGGGTGGGTTCTTATTTAGCTGCGTTTTCAGGAACACTGCTGTCTGCCCTCCCTGAGCTGTATGTTTGGCATCTGTGTGTCTGTGTGTGAGTGTGTATGTGTGTTGTCTGGATCTCTCTGTGTCTGGAATCCCTTCTCCTGAACACACATTGTGGTTTTATTACAGATCAATGTTTGCTGTGAAGCTCTTGCACAGATTAGCCTGAACCTGCCCAGCCCAGGGGAGGGGAAGTCGAGAACTGATGTTGGCTCTTTGGGAAGGGGTGGGCAGGTACCATCTTCACACCTGGAGGCCCAGACCCTTGGCTCCCCAAGTGGCAGTGAGTTGGCCAAGGGAGACAAAGGGCTGGGCCCCAGGCTATGGTAGGCTGTGCCCAGGATAGTCCCCTCTGCCTCTGGCTCCCCAGAGGAGACATGGGGACTCCAGTCACCACTCCCCACCAAGATCAGCCCCCTCCCCCAGCTTGTTCTTCTCCTGTCTGCAGAGGAGCAGGCTGGCTCAGACCTGTCTGCTGGCTCTCTCCCCCAGGGAGCGGATCCTTTCCAGGGGACACGAGAGGGCTGGGGAATGCTGGGGCTTACTGGGAGGCCCCAGGTACTCCGCCCTAGCCCTCTGCTGCTCACTCCAGTCTGGATTCTCCCCACCCACTCTTGGGTGCCGCTTCTCTGCGTTTTGCCCAGGCATAGTCATGTTTGCAGGGACGTCCTCCACTGAACACTAGGTAGAGGGTGAGAGGGTGGGGGCCAGAACTCTGGTATCCAGGACTGGGGAGGGGAGATGGTTGTGATGCTCTCAGAGACCACTCCCCCAATTCCTTCTGTCTCCAAGCAGTCACTGACTTAGAAAACTAAATTTTTCCTAGTTCTAAGAAGAGTTCTAGAGGCTAAGGAGAGGCTATGAGGTCTGAGGAGAAGGTCAGGGACTCACTCCATCCACACTGTCAAGGATGGACTCGTCTTTTTTCAGTCTTAATTTCCCCTTCCCCGGATTTCATCTAACCTTTCCTGCCCTACCCCTACTCCCCCAAAGCCCTAGGTCACCTCTCCCACCATGATAGCTATTAAAGGTTGGACATGGGGGAGAAAAAATGAAAAGGGGCGTCTGGGCCTAGTGGAGGTGGGCAGAGCCAGATGGTGTCCTACTAATTGCCTTGTGGTCCTAGACACGGTGCTCAGGGCTTCCCACACTCATGGCTCTTAGTCCTCACAGTGCTCCTCTGGGCAGAGATTAACAACCCCATTTTACAGATGGAGAAGCAGTCTCAGAGAAGTGACCTGCACAGCCAGGGACTGATAGAGCTGAAACTCAAACCCAAGCCCACCCTGTTAACTGCTGACACACTGCCTCCCTCTCCAGGGATTCACACACACCTCCAGTCCAACACCCCAGAGATGCCTCCCTGCTTTGAGTCTCTCAGCTTGTTGCATTCATTAGAGAGATCAAGGCATGACTAGAATCAGAGGCATACACCCTGACCCCACCCACCAAGCCTAGCATCCTAATTTCTTGTAACCTGGACCATATCAGCTTACAATGTGCCTTCCTGTCGATCCTGTGTGTGGTTCCACATCAACTCGTGGATGTTAGAGAACCCAGTGACTGGCACATATACACATCAGGCCCTGTGGGTACCCAGGTTTCCATGTTAGGACCATGCCCACAGCCTGCCCATGCTGGGCACACCCATGGGCCTGTGCAAGGTGCCAAACCTGTATATATTTCATGTCCAGAGCTGGCGGCTGCCTCTCCCGCTCACACGGGTGTCCAATTCTCCTCTCACAGACTCCTTGTTTATTTGTTTAATGAATTATTTATCCGTGGCCCCCCTTCCCTCCTGGCCTTCCCCCCCCCGCCCCGGGCCCCAGCCTCCATGATTTATTGAAGACAGCTCAGCTCTGTGGTTGTCACCGTGGGCCCCAGAGCCTGAGCACTCCTCTGTACCCAACCTGTTCATCTCCCTGTTTCCTCAGTCCCAGGGGCAGGGAGCTGAGGTACCATGTTCAGAGAGGCCCCAGGAGCCTGAGCTCAGTGTCCCTGGGGAGAACATGGCAGCTGGCAGTGCACTAGCAAGCCCAAGGGTCACAGGGAAATGAAGGCAGGTGTGCTGGTGAGGAGAAAAGAGGCCTGAGACCCTAAAGTGAGAGGACTAACCCCATGGAGCGAAACCCCAGCCTCCACAGAGGCCCTCACCCTACAGAGACTTATCTATCAGGACCCAGGTCTTAGACACCAGCGTTCAAGCTATAGGTTATGACTCATTAGGGGTGGTGAAATCAAGAAATCAACTTTATGGGTCTCAATCAGCTTTTTCTTTTATTTTGAAAAATATTAAACATAAAGGAGAAGGAAAAAAGCAGAGAGTATCCTCTGCAGAAAGATATTGGTTCATGTATCTTATTTTTGCAGTTATAAGTGTGAGTTAGTTCAATGTATTACACATACTATGGGTCACAGGAAAGATTTGAGTCACAGTTATGAACAGTGGCCTAGAACCCAGTGATAGAGGCCGAGGATTGTCATGACCCAGATCCCCAGAAAGAGGCCTAGGCTTCAGGTCATGTCTCAGGCCTGTGGACAGTAGGCCAGATTTTAAGCATAGAGACCCCATCACTAGAAAATCCCAAACTCCCTGAGTAAAGGTCTACAGACAGGCCTAGGCATCATACCTCAAGGTACCATCCCATTGCATAGGGTTGTGGTTGGGGCACAATAGTGGCTTCTGACCTCCCTCACTAAGATGGGGAGACACATAGGGCCACCTTCCACTGATGGGAGGGACACCTTAGTTTTTATAGAAAGTCACCTCTTGCCAAGAGATGCAACCTAAGGACTGGGTCTGTAGTAGAGGGGTGTTTTTTTTTTTTTTTAATTGAGCCAGAAGGTGATTTGGAGAGAGGCCCGTATAGATAGAGATCCAATGGCTAGAGACCTAGGCCCTACAGAGTATCTCAGAGGCTCTGACTCCATAGAGAGAGCTACTGAAATCCTATAGAGAGGGCTCCGGTTAGAGAGGGGGACTCAATTATTGGTAGGGCCATAGGGGTGCTAGATTCTTAAGAGGCATATCTGGGCCCTACAAGTCCAGAGGGGGACCCAGATCCTACAGACTGGGTCTTAAGTATTCTCAAATGGAACCTGAAGTCCTAGACCAAACCAGCAAGCTTGCACTCTCTATGAACATAGGCAGCCTCTCTGCCAACTGTGGGAGGGCCCTATAAAGAGAAGCTTGTCTTGGCAAAGCAGGGGATATAGGTAGGCAAGGAGGGGGCTGGGACTTGTGGCACCTGGAGTAGGCAGTTAGCATCATTTGGGTGAAACAAATCTCCCTGGGGATGAGGAGTCTGAGGGGAGAGAGAGCTGTTTGCAAAGTCCCCCAGTCCCACCCCAAGGGGCCTAATTTATTTCCTGACTCCTGAGAAGGGAGAAGAGATCTCCTGGGATGGAAAGGAGTTGAGGGAGGACAGAGCCTGCTCTTGCCTGGCAGCAACTAGGCAGCGGTCTTCTTCTGGATAACACTGCCCCTCCCCCAAACCCAGCACTTGAGACTGATATGGTCAGGGCTCCTGTCCTGCCAGGGGCAAGCAGAGGAAGGGTGCCTATATGTCCTGTCTTCCAAAGTAAAGAAGAAAAGAGCATCACACCTGTATCCCTTGGCACAGGATTCTAAGACCTGGTCCTCCTTGTCACTGATAGTCTAGGCCTCACCAAAAGAAAGCAGGGGTGGACAACCCTACATCTGGATTCTAGATGCTTGCCCTCAACTTCTACTTCCTAGGAAAAGAGAGAGTAAAGCAGCCTTCCCCCATGTATCTGTAGTGGTCTGTGTCTCTGTGTTCTTTGCCTCTAGCTGTCTGTGCCTTTTTTCCTGGATGTGTGCATAATGTCTGTGTTTGGGTGTCACTGTGAGGACAATGACTGGTGAATGCTGGAACACAGGTGCTCTGCTCTCTGCCATGTGCTCAGCTCTGTGGAGGTAGGAGTAAGAATGCCTGGACACCCCTAGCAGCCTCCAGGCCTCCTCACCCACCCGACCTTGAGTGTCAATAAAGAATCCTCTGTAAGTGTCCCAGGGAAGCCTGGTTTGCTCTGGCTAACTCTCTCCTTGGTACCTTCTCTGCCTTGGGCTCTGGACTACCAAAGGCCCTTCCACCACTCAGGATTGATATTCTTGGGGGCCGAACTCCACTAACCCCCTTCAACCAGCCTCAAGCTCAGCCAAGGGCTTCAGGTGACCAGCCCTCAGGTCCTTGGTGCCAGCTGAGGGGCCGTTCCACAACCTTCTAGAACCCACCAGCTCCTTGAACACACAGGAGAGAAGGGAAGGGGTAGGGGCCAGACTGTTTATACATGGGAGCGGGGTCTAAGAGGTCCTGAGCCTCCTTCACTCCAAACCGGAGACGACTGTGCCCACACGAGGTGCAGATCCCTGTCTTGGCCTCCCTAATTCTCCTCCTGGGAACTCCAGACGGGAGCAGAGGGCCAGGACGCGCGATCGCAAATTAAACCTAGGAGGGCGAGGAGAGGCGCGCTCGGGTTGTTCCCGAGGGGGCAGAGCAACACCCGCCCCCCGCGTCTCCGAGCGGGGCGGGGCTTAGCGGGAGCGCGCCCGGGGCGGGGCGTCGGGGGCGCGCCCGGGGGCGGGGGGACGGGCCGGGGGCGTGGCCTACGGCTCGGGGGCCGGCGGCGGCGCGGCGGCAGCAGCGGGGAGCTGGGGAGCGAGAAGCCGGGAGCGCGGGGCTCAGTCGGGGGGCGGCGGCGGCGGCGGCTCCGGGGATGGCGGCGGCTCCGCTGCTGCTGCTGCTGCTGCTCGTGCCCGTGCCGCTGCTGCCGCTGCTGGCCCAGGGGCCCGGGGGGGCGCTGGGGAACCGGCATGCGGTGTACTGGAACAGCTCCAACCAGCAGTGAGTCGGGGGCCCGGGAGCCTGCGTCCCGCGCCGGCGAGGGGGAGCCGGTGGGCCTGGGAAGTCCTGGGGGAGCCCGGGGCGGGAGTCCTGGGGGACCGCAGCTGGGGCTGGGAGGCGCGGGAGAGGGGCGCGCACTCCGTGGGCGTCGGTAAAACTCGGGGGGTGTCTGGAAGAGGCTGCCGAGGTGTAGTAAGGAAGGCTCGGGCCGTGCGGAGGAGGCTGCTCAGGGACACCCCACCCCGCCTTGGCTCCCCCACCCCGCTTCTGGATAGCGTGCCCCCATCCCATCGCCTCCCCGCCTTACCCCCTTGGCAGGGATGGGGCTTGGGAGTATCAATTTGCTGGGCATAGGCCGCCGCACTTGGGGGGCCCAGCGATGACCTGTTTTCAGCCTTGAGGCTTTCCTGGGGCTCTGTCTAGGATGCTGCTTTTAAAAGTGGGGTCCACAGCTGAGGTAGGGAGTCCGGTCGAGCACCTCCTCGGCGCGGAGGCGCAGGGGTTGCCCTGCTCGCGTGGGTAAGCCCTCTGGGGTGGGCCGGCGGGGTCGCCGAGTTGGGGGGCCCCGAGGGTGACGCTTGGCGAGGACGGGGACGTGGGTTACCGGGAAAGGGAAGGTGGCAGGGCGACGTCGGCGTGTCACACACGCACACGCCCGGGCTGGGGACGGCGTGTGGCCCCGAGTGTGAGCGGGCGTGCGCGGCTGTCAGTGTGTGTGTGCGTCTGAGTGTGTGATTTGTGCGTCTGCATCGGCGATCGTCTGGGGGTGCGAGAGGGTGGCGGGTCGGGGAGGGGCTGCGGTCGCCGTCCGCGTGGCCGGCCGCGTCTGGGCCGGGTGGCTGTTGGCGCCGCCGCGGTCTGGGCGGGTGTCGGGGCGGCCCTGTGGTTTCCCGGGTGTGCGGCTCGGCGGCCGGGTGCCGGCTGCGGGGCCAGGTCCTCCTCTGCTCGGTCCTCGCTGCCCTTGTCTTCTCCCCCCGCGCCACTGTGTGTAGCACCCCGGCCGCCTCCGTGTGTGTCCGTGTGTCGGGGGGATCCCTGGGGACGCGGGGGTCACTGTCACACCTGCCCGGGCGGCGGCGGCGGCGGCCCAGCCCCTGGCTTAGCCCCCGGGGGGCGACTTGAGAGCAAATGGCGAGCCCCCAGGGGAGGAGGCCGTGAGGGCCGGGCGGCCGCGACCCCCAACCCCCCGGGGGAGGGGCTGCCGCTCGCCGCTCCGTTCTTTGTTGTTTGGGGCTCCGCGCCTCCCCCTCTCTCCCTGCTCGCGCCCGGAGTGTCAGACTGGGGGTGGGGATGAGCCAATGACGCCCCCCTCTCGCTTCCCATGGAAACCTCGGGGGTGGGGATGCGGCCCCTCCCCCCCGGAGTGGGACTCGGAGAACTCCGGGGGGCCTTGGGGGCTGACTCCCCTGCTGCATCTAGCTCGCTCCCCTCCCCCAGACTCGCAGCTCGCCCCCCGCCCCGCTAGTCTGGCGGGGAGTCGAGGGGGCGCAGGTGAGGGGGCCCGGGTTCCCCATCAACCCCCCGGGCACCCCCGCGCTCTCAAGGAAAGCCGAGCGAGGGGGATGCGGGGCTGGCCTGGAGCGGAGGGGCTGCTGCTGATCAGGTTTACCTCCCCCGCAAGCACCTGGGCACAGGTGAAAGCCCTGGGAGGGGGTGCGGGAGCCGGGGTTCCGGGAGCCTCCCTTCTCTCTCCCCCGCTCCCCCGCAGGTCTGGACCGGCAGAGGTGGGAGGGGGTGCGCACCGGGCCGGGAGGCCCCGCCGCCCCCGCCTCGCTTCCTCGGTCTTTGTTGCCGCTGCGCCCGGGCTCCCCGGCTCCCTCACTGCGGCAGCCGCGGCCCCATAAATCGTGAGAGCGACGTGCTCCGGAGCCGGGAGTGGAGAGGGCCGGGGAGCTGGGGGCGGGGCCCGCCGAGCCACAGGCTCCCGCGCCCCCTCCCCCCCGTCACGTGAGCCAGCCTCCGGCGCCCACCCCCCCGTCACGTGCGGAGGGTCTCGGCCCCTTGGGGTCACGTGGAGGGGGTCCTGCGACCCCGCCTCCTGGGGTCACGTGGGCGGGCGCTGGCGGGACACGTGCGGCGGCCTCCTTTGACAGCCCTGGGGGCAGTGCCCTGCGCCGCAGTCGCGATCCCGCCCCCCGCTCTGGCCTCCGTTTGGTCCCCTGGACGAGGCGAGACCTGTCCCCACCTGGCCCAGAAGCTGGGGCGGGGGATTGCACGGGTCAGCAGCACGGGGAGTGGGCCGCAGGGTCCCCTGAGCGGGAGCTGAACCCAGGGGTCGGGGGAGGGCCTGCTGGTGACCACCTCAGGCCCCGGCCTGTGCTTCCTTTCTTCGCAGAGCTGCGCGGGGATGTCGGTGCTCGTGCCTGTCTCAAGCCTCGGGAACGGCTTTCTCTGGCCTCCCTACCTGTCTCCTGTCTCTGACACGCTTGTGCTGCTGACCCCGCACCCTCACACCTTCATTCACCAAATATTTATTGAGGCCCTGCTGTGTGCCTGTTGGTCCCTCTCGCTGTCCTCTCCCGCCGCGGACTCTGCCCGCACCCCTGCGGGTCCCCGTCACCTCTCCTGGGCGTCTTTCCCTCCGTCTCTGCTGTCTGTGGGCCTCTGGCGGGGCCTCCGCGTCCCTCGCGTTCCCCTCGCCCCTGCGCTCCGTCTCTGCCCTCTCTCTCCATTCTGGACCCCTCTTCCCTGCGTCGCGCTCCCTTTCCCCTCAGTGAATGCGGTCTCTGGGCATCTTCCCTTTCGGTGTGTGTCTCCCTCTCAACCCGTTTTTGTGTGTCTCGCTTTCGGCGGGTCTCTCGCTCTTCTTCGCCGCTGCAGATCAATAAACCTTCGCCGCCGCCGCTGTCGCAGGGAGGAGGGGCGGGGACGCGGGGCGCGGGGCTTCTCTCCCACCGACGCGGGCCGGAGAGGCCGGGCGCCCAGGCCCGGCCTGGCAAGACCCGGCTGGGCGCCCGAGGGGTGCGGGGGTGCCTGCGTGTACGCGCCGCCCGGGGAGCGTTCCCGCCACCCACCCGCCCCCAGCCCGGGCCCGCGGACCCCACGCCGCGCACACGTGGTCCAGCCTCGCCGGCTGGAGCAGGCGGCGCGCAGCCTCGGGGACGAGCCCTAAAGGGGAGGAGACAGGGGTCCGGTGTCTGTACCTCCCTTCTCCACTTCCTTAGCTCCGTATCCCGGCGTCTCGGGGTGGGGACAGGGACTTAACAAGTTAAGGGGCCCTTGGGATCCTATCCCTACTCCCTGGTCTTGTTAGGCACCCTGTTTACCTGCCCCTAATTGCCCCGGGGGGAGAGCTCTGCTCCCTCACCGATCCCCTGCCGCCCACCCCAGCAGGCTCCAGCAGGTGGGGCTGCAGGGGGAGCGGAAGACTAGGGTCGGAATGCCCACTAGGGCGGGGGTGGGGGCGGGGGGGAAGCCCGAAGAGACTCAATAATGGGGTGAGGCGGCGCCCCCTCCAGATGGGGTATGTGGACACTCGCCTTTTGGAGAGCGGGGAGGGAGGCTAGTAGGGGACGAATTGAGAAAGAATAGACAGTTACCTGAAGGGGCAGGCAGAACCCAGTCCCCAGATCCCAGCCCGCCCCCCACGGGGGTGTGGCTCTAGCTTGGGTAGGTGGGGCCCGAGAGAAGGAATTAGCAGCGGAGCTTGGCCGGCACCTCCCTCTTCTCCACCCGGGCTGGGAGCATGACAGATTCAATTAAAGCGCCCAAGTCTAGCAGACACCTCAGGTCTCCCAGGAATTGCGGCTGGAGATCTTGGCACCCCGCCCCCTGCCCACAAGCTACCACTTGGGCACAGCCTTCCATAAGCAGGTCTTTCTCTCCCATGCCCAGCCTTGGGAGAATTTCTGGGGTTGTTCCTGTTGCCCAGCCTAGAGATAGGTAAGAGATGGCGTCTCTTCACTTGTGGTCACCCAGCAACCTTTGTGAACTATTCCCCACCTGGTTGAGGAAACTGAGGTACCTGTAGGAATACCTCTGTCTTTGACTTAATCCCTGCTGGAATGGGGTGTGTTGTAGGGAGAACTGGGCAGTGCCCCAGGGAGGGGCCACTTGAGAGTGGGGCTGGAAACCTGGGTGAGGCTCAAGGACAGAGGCCCCAGTATGGCTGTGCAGCTGCCTTAGGCCTAGCACCCTACCCCACTGGTGGCCTGCTCCCCAAAACCTGTGGGCGAGGAACAGCAGACTTGGGTTGGGGATAGAGACACAAGCCTGCTGGGAGCCAGGCCTGGTCTAACCCGTTTTCCTGCTCCCAGTGCCCCAGGCCGAGACTCCTGCCCACCTGAGTGCCAGGGCCAGGGAGGGGCCTGAGTGACCCATCACTCTCGTGGGAACCTAGTGTGGCTGGTGGCATTCCTGATGACTCAAGGAGGCTGTGCCCATTCTGACTGGGATGCCCAAGCACCAGCCCTCACCCAGCTGCCTTACTGCCAGGCTTGGAAGGGAGTGCTTGGGGAGGGGGTGGCACAAGCAAGGCCAAGGAAGTAGGGTAAGGTGGGGAGGGACAGACCCTCACGGCCCCACCCCATGCAGAGGCCTCCAAGCTTGTCTCCCTAATGGATCTAATTATTGTTTGTGGAACTAGAAGGTACTTGGCGACATGGGGAGCCAGTCCCTCCCCTCAGGGAGTTCCCAGAGACTTGGGACCCCAGTGGCTTGACATTTTCCCAGAGTCCCCCATGTCTTCCTGTGTCCACCACTCTTGCTGCCAAGATGTGCGCATTCCAACCCTAAGGAAATGAGGGGAAATCCCTGCCTTCTCTGAATTTCTTCCTCCATTCAGATGTTTCTCCCATTCCCGCACCACTCAGTACCACCACGGAGAGCTTTAAGACCAACGCTTTGATGATGACTAAGTAGGCAGGTGGGGATTACAGGGACCCAGCATCTGTTCTCTGTCCCATAGAAGGATCAGGGAGGTAAGAGGCACAGTCATCTTGTCTCGGCACTGTGCCCACTATACCTCGCATCTTTAAGGGGCAGTAGTACCCATGTTAAGGAGGGAGGTGTAGAGAGACGGAAACGTGGGCTGGCTGGCATTATATTAATACCACAGGGAGCTCTGGTATTGAGTTCCTCGGCTCCCTTATCTGTGTGTCACATTATTGGGGACCTTATTACCAGTGGCCTGAGGATGGAGGTCAGTGGGACTCAATGTAGAGGCTAGTGATACTGGACAACGTGTGCGTGTGTCTGTGTGTGTGTGTGTGAAGGGCAAGGAGCGTGCTTGGGATGGCTGGGGTCAACCCGTGCTGGCATGCGAGTCCTGCACACATACAACCTAGCTTTTCTGCATGTCCTTCTGTGAGGGGACGGTGGACATATTTGTGTGTGCGCCATGGATCTTGCGTGTATTTGCATGGAACCTCCGTACACGCGTGTGTGAGAGCAGGTCCTATGGGACTGGCCCTGGGGGTGGGCTGGCAGCGGCAGGGAAGCCCGCTGGGAGCGGCGATGGGGGGTGCGCATCCCTCAGAAGGGATCCCTCCCACTTTCCCCCGTCTCTCGCATCCAAGCCGCCTTTCCGTCCTCCCCGCTGGTGAATTATGGGGGATGGACGGAGGAAATCCGGGCCCGGGTCTGGGAGTCGCTGGGGCCTGCGCCGTTTCTGTGGTAACCAAAGCACACGTTCCCTGCTTCCCTCCACCCTGCTCCCCCGCCCCTTCTCCTCTGGAGGCAGGCCGGGCTTCCCTGCGCCTCTGCCGCCCCCTGGTGGTGATCAGGCGCGGCGCAGAACGGGGCGGGGCGCGGGAGGCGAGCGCGGGACTGGCGGGCCAGGGAGGGCCCCGGGGATCCGGCAGGGACCCGTAGGGCGAAGCTCAGGAAAGCCGGGAGGCTTCGCGGACCCTGGGGGAAGGTGTGCGGCGCGGCGCGGCGCGGCGAGGTGGAGCGCGGGGCGGCTGAGGGGTTCCTTTTCTCTCACGCGCCTCCTTTCCCCACAGCCTGCGGCGAGAGGGCTACACGGTGCAGGTGAACGTGAACGACTACCTGGACATCTACTGCCCGCACTACAACAGCTCCGGGGTGGGCCCCGGGGCGGGGCCGGGGCCCGGGGGCGGGGCGGAGCAGTACGTGCTGTACATGGTGAGCCACTCGGGCTACCGCACCTGCAACGCCAGCCAGGGCTTCAAGCGCTGGGAGTGCAACCGGCCGCACGCCCCCCACAGCCCCATCAAGTTCTCGGAGAAGTTCCAGCGCTACAGCGCCTTCTCGCTGGGCTACGAGTTCCACGCCGGCCACGAGTACTACTACATCTGTGAGTGGCGGCCGGGCCGGGCCGGGCCGGGCGGGCGGGCGGGGTCCGGAGGGGGGCGGCCCGCGCGCCCCGAGCGGGCCCGGGATGAGGCGTGATGGCCGGGTCGCGAGGCCCGGGGCGGGGGTGGTGTTAGGCCGAAGTTGGGTCACTGAGTCACTGCTCTTTGAGCGACATGGAGGTGGGGTTAGGTTCCTAGACGGCCGCGACCAGAGGGGCTGCTGAGGCAGACGGCGGCGTCACCGCGGCCAGTGGCCAAAGGGAAGAGCAGCTGCTCGAAGGCGCCTGCCCGGTTGGGGCAGCTTGGGGGGCGGTGAGCAGAGCTCGAGCGAGGGCGCGGGTGTGAGGTGGGAGACAGCAACTCAAGCGCAGTGTCCTCCCCAGCCACGCCCACCCACAACTTGCACTGGAAGTGTCTGAGGATGAAGGTGTTCGTGTGCTGCGCCTCCAGTGAGTATGATCGCTCCCAGTCGCGACCCCATCCTCGGCTCCCCTGCTTTGGGGCTCCCCTGGCTTCCTGGAGGTGGGGGCGGAGGGCACAGGCGAGGGGGACTCGCTCCCCAGCTGTAGCAGGGGGAGGGGATCCTGGCCCTGACTCTCCCCTCCTCTCTCCCCACCCGCACCCCACCCCGCAGCATCGCACTCCGGGGAGAAGCCGGTCCCCACTCTCCCCCAGTTCACCATGGGCCCCAATGTGAAGATCAACGTGCTGGGTGAGTCTGCGCAGCGCCCTCTGGTGGCCACTGCTGGAACCGCAGCCCCCTCCCCGGTGCCTGTTCGCCTCGCATGTCTTCCCCGGGGGGCACCGAACCTCCTTGCCCCCGCGGGTGGTCACGTCCCCGGCTCCTCTGCTGCTACCGCTGCCGCGTGCCCCCTCCTGAGCGCGCAGCCCAGGCCTCACCAGTGTGTCTATTTATCTGTCCACAGAAGACTTTGAGGGAGAGAACCGCCAGGTGCCCAAGCTTGAGAAGAGCATCAGCGGGACCAGCCCCAAGCGGGAGCATCTGCCCCTGGCGGTGGGCATCGCCTTCTTCCTTATGACGCTCTTGGCCTCCTAGCTCTGCCGCACCTTGGCGGGGAGAGATGGGATGGGGCTGGGAAACAGCAGGGAGCCTCTGGCCTCTCCCAGGAAGCCTAGCCGTGGGGCCTAGACCCCTCCTCCGATGGCTGGAAGTGGGGTCTGCACCATACGTCTGTGCCCGCCCCTCTGCCCCCTCCCCCCAGGTAGGGCACAGAGTGGACCAGGCGCAGGGATAGCCATGGGTCCCAAGTGGCTTTGTGGCTCTGGTAATGTTTGGTACCAAACTCGGGGGCCATTAGGGGCAGTACTCAGGACTCCCTGCCCCCCTGGTACCTTTCTCTGACCCCTGGCGCCCTCCCCCATTGTCTCCCTCCAGGAGACAGATACGCCAGAGAGAGAGCATATGGAGTGTGGGAGGCACCCCCATCTCTCTCTTCCAGGGGCAGAACGTGGGGAGGGGACTGGAGGGGCAAGGGGGTGGCACCGCCCACTGCCCCCTTCTCCGGTTTACAGCAATAAGCACGTCCTCCTCCCCCCACTCCCAGTCCCAGGATTGTGGTTTGGATTGAATCCAAGTTTACAAGTAGACACCCCTGGGGGGGCGGGCAGTGGACAAGGGTGACAAGGGGTGGGCATTGGGTGCCAGGCAGGCATGTACAGACTCTATATCTATATATAATGTACAGACAGACAGAGTCCCTCCCCCTCCTCTACCCCCTGGCCTTCCTTGACTTACCCTTCCAGCTTCAGACCCCTTCCCCACCAGGCTAGGCCCCCACTGGGGGACCCGCTGGCCCCTCTTTTGTCTTCTGTGAAGACAGGACCTATGCAACGCACAGACACTTTTGGAGATCGTGAGACAACAATGCCCCGCCCCTCCAGCCCTGGGCGGGGACTCAGCTCCCAGGCCCTCACCCTGCCCACCCTCTGTGGTCCCCACCCATCCTCCTGGCCTTTTTCAAGTGCTTTGGCTGTGACTTTCATACTCTGCTCTTAGTCTAAAAAAAATAAACTGGAGATAAAAATAACCGAGTGTGTGTGATTTCCAGGGGCCATCAACCTTCTGTACAACCCACAGGTCACAGGGCCTGGGTGGGAAGGGCAACCTGGGGCCAAAGTGTCCACTGAACTCCTTGTTCTGTGACTTGTCTCCTTAAAGGAGGCAGCTCTGTGTGGAGGGGCCACAGGGGCTCCCAAGCTGGGTCTGCTTGACTTTGGGCAAATCATCGAAACTCTCCAAACCTTGAGTATCTCATCAGAAAAATTGGGCCAGAATCCATCTCTCAGGGTTGGTGTACGGCCTCAATGGCAGCCGGTGAGGAAGGCTCAGTCGGTGGTGATTTTTCTCCCTTCCCATCCCGTTCTGTATTCTGAGCTTCTTGACTGGGGTCTGTGGGTTTCAGGGGGTTGTGAACCTAGCTAGGGAAAAACTACATCTTTAATTTCACTCACCTGTAACTGAAATTGAACATGCTTTTATGTACTTGGGCAGCAAGCCACAATAGTTTGAACAGTGCCTGTGACTTTGTAACCAACAGAAATCACAGATGTTTTCAGACTGCATTATTGTTTTTGAAGATATCTCAAAATACCGTTTACGCTCATTACACATGGAAATGACCGTAGTTGTTAGACCTCCTTGTTTTTAATGTGTTAATAAAGAAGCATATATATTACTATACCAAAATAATGTAAATGTTTTGATAACTGTGTTTCAATATAATTGGTTGCCTTTATAATGCTTTGTAATTTTATTTTATTTCGTTAAAACTTTGTGGTAGAAAGGCTGCGGGGGTGTGGTGCTGGGCTGCACAGAACTACCACCCACCTGTGCCTGCCAGCAGAGGGAGGGGGCAAAGGCCAAAGACGCCAGAGTGGGTACAGCAGTCAAAGGCTCTTTTCAGAAGCCCTGGCCCTGTGTGGGCCCATGAGGTCAGGGGTACACAGGAGGCTGTCCCCACCACGAGGGGGCTGCATGGGGACCAAAATCCACCTCTGCTTACTTTCCGTGGCCAAGTGCCCTGGCCCAGTAAGGGGGTGCTCTTTCTCATTGCCAAGCTGTGCACCACTGGGGCTCGCTGTATAGGTAGGCTGGGTCCTGGGTGAGTGTTCCTTCCAGTGGCCTTGTGGCTGTACCTGCTCGATGGTGAGAATGAGCCCTTGGCAGCAGGAACTGTGCTCCCCCACCCCCCATAAAACATGGTAAATGGAATTTCAGCTGCCCTCTGGAGAGTGGGTACCAGAGGAAGAGGGGCTGGAGGGCAGAAGGAGAGGAGTAGGGGCTGCCAGTACACTAGTATGGGGCTCCCTACACAGGCAGGTCAGAAGGCGATTCATCCATGAGCTGGGTCATGGGTTCACCAACATGTACTGAATGCCTGCTGAGTGCCAGGCTCTCTCCTGGGGACTTGGGGTACCAAGAAGACACTCTACCTTCAAATAAACTCGTAATTTTGCCTGGTCTGAAGTGTGAAGATGATCAGTAATACATAAACACACCCACAGCAATATAACCAGGTGTTACAAGGCTAAATGACAGGAAACCTTAGGAACATGGAGGCAAAATGATACTCTTGCCTGGGAAAATAGGACTGCTTGGAGGAGGGAGCACACATAGCTGGGGTCCTATGAAGAGTGTTGAGGACTTTGGAGAATGAGGTTCCTTCAGGGTTGTCCTGTAAAGGAGCTATACTGGTGGGCCTTAGAGACTGCAGGCTCCTCTAATTCCAGGGCCTCATGGGACAGGGGCCAATTGGGATGGGAGACCCCAGTGGGCTCAAAAAACCAGGAATAGGGGGTCTCCCTGGTGGCCTAGCGATTAAGTCTCAGCGCTATCACCTCTACGGCCTCAGTTTGATCCCCTACCAGGGAGCTAACCCACATGGCACAGCAGATCTCTCCTGTCTCATGCTGCTCCCCTTAGCAGTGTATTTCAGTCAGTCTGCCTGTTCTGCTCCCCACTCTGTCTCTGGTGAATCTTCTCACCCCCTTCCTCATACCTCTGGGCTACACCCTAGTTCTTCTATGCAAAAACAAACAAACAAATCCAGGAACGGGAAGACTGAAAATCCAGGTATTTGGGCAAAGGAACTGGCACAGACCGCTTCTATTTCCTGAGCACTCCTGTGCTGGGCACCAGGCCGGGTATGTGCCTATATCATGAGCCACATGCTCCTAGCAGCAAGGGGATACTGAGGGTATAGGAGGCTGTATCCCTGATAAAGACCACACAGCCTGGGAAGTGGCAGGGCTGGCATTCAAAGTGGGTGACTGCCACTGCCCTCTGACCTCCCAAACCAGCGCCACCATCTGGAACCCTCGCCCATGAGTCCTGATGGCCTCCTACCACCCCTCCACCAAAGTCATTCGGAGTTGTTGGAGAAAGACATCAAAGGAGCTCAAGTCTGGATTGGGTGAGCCAACGCAAACGCCCTATTTTACAGATGGAAAAAATGAGGCCTGGAGACAATAAATGACTTGCCACTCAGCTGTCCGTGAAACAGCCGGGACTGGGCTGCAGGTTTCTGGAGTCCCCACATATTTTTAAAGAATGATCCATTTATTTACAATCTTTATTTTCTAATTATTCTTAGTAAAGCATTCTGTACTAACATTCTCCACTGATACGTTAGAAAAATCTTTCAAACATGGTTGTTCCTCAAAATGCCTCTGGAAGATGAAAGTTTAGTCTCAGTGTCCTCACACATTACTGTAGAAAACTGGAGACACTAAGAGAAAATAAGTTTTATAATGAACCCCATCTTTTATCCTACCATGCTGTGATGCCCTGGAAGGGAAGCTTCCCAGCAATTGAAGGCTGACATTTGAAACCTCTTAAACCAGCAATGACTGGGGTTAAGGAAGGAGGCCCCTCATCTCAAAGATTCCTTTCCATTTTCCCCGAGGCTGGAACTTCAAGAAGCACTGGGTCCCACAGGGACCACCCCCTCAAGCAAGGCTTTAGTCCCAGAGCCTGCATGGGGTGGGGGTCAGGGGCAGCACCTCGATGGACATACACCAGTGATCTGGTGGCACCAAGGCCTGCACAGCCCTGAGTGTCCTGGCCAAGGCTCAGTGAGATGAAAGTGGGAGGGCCAGAGGGTACTGGAGGAAGGGAGAGGACCCACAGTCCAGACCCAATACCCACCAGTGGATAGACAGGGCAGGGGAGGGTAGGAGAGCCTCACGCCACATAGAGCACTTCTGATATAGGACTGAGCAAGATGCTGGGGAGGGGACACAGGACCATAGCTGGGGAAGGGAAGCCACCTCCTTCTTGCTCCCATACCCAGAACCTGGGGTGTCTTGGCTGCCAGATGGTGGCCCAGAGTGGGAACATTCTGCAACTGTGCTGACCCCACCCCAGAGCACAAGGGTCTGAGGCAGGGAAGTTCAATTCAGTGAGCTGTGTCAGCTCCACACTGGCAACGCCAATTCCAGATGGGCGGCTTACCTACCTGGGGCTGGGTCTTCTTCCCCTCTTTGTGCAAGGGTGTCACCTGGGGTCCTGACAACTCACGCCTGGAAATCCTAGACAGGCCTCACAAGGGACGCTCCTTGATACCACTAGACAAAGGCTCTCTATGCTCCCTCCCCTCCTGCCTCCCCAAGGGGTAAAAATAACAGCAGCAGGGCCTCCCTGTGGGTTGTGCAGTGGTTGAGCGCTGTGGTTCGATCCCTGCTCCAGGAACACTGGAGGAGGGTCCCACATGGCGCGCAGACCTCTATTGCCGCCTGCTGCTCCCCTCAGCAGTGTGCTTCGGTCCTTCTGCCTGCTCTGCTCCCCGCTCTGGCTCTGGTGCATTCTCTCACTCTCCCGCACTTCTGACTGTACCCAGTGCTTGTATTTATAAATTTATTTATAAATAAATAAATCTTAAAAAAATCTATTAAAAAAATAAAATAAAATAATTTAAAAATAACAGCAGCAATAAACAGCCCAACACAGATTTTGCGGATTTTTAAAAAGATTTATTTATTTATGCATACAAGAACTGGGGTACAGGCCAGAGGTGCAGGGGGAGGGGGGAGAGGATTCACCAGAGACAGAGCAGGGAACAGAACAGACAGACTGACTGAAATACACTGCTGAGGGGAGTAGAGGGCGAGACAGGATAGGTCTGCTGCACCATGTGGGTCAGCTCCCTGGCCGGGGATCGAACTTGTGCTGCAGTGGCTGCGGATAGCTTCATAGATTGTATCTTAATCCCTTGCACCACCAGGGAGGCCCCCAATACAGATTTTAGTTTGGGCAATGAGGTTGGGAGCCGCCATGACTTCCCTTGGGTGAGAGGTCTCTCTGGACTTGCTGCGGGCCAGAAGAAAGGCGATGTGGGCTGAGCTGGAAGCCTTGACCCCTGGGTTAGGGCCTGCAAGGGTGAGTGTTGGCCTTTAAGGGGAACAAGAGGTTGTATTAGAGGATGTTCTGGGCTTGGCCTTCAAGTTCTCGAGCCTGGGGCACAAAAAGAGTGCCCCAGTGGACTAGTCCATCTATTTCACTTTCCATTCCAGAATTTCTCTTGCTCCTACCCCCTCTCTCTCTCCCTCCGGTTTTACAAGCTATGAGGTCCAGAGAGGACTGAACCCAATCAACACATGCCCTCTCTCGAGATACTCAGCCCCCTCCTTCTCCTTGTGTGCCCAGCTGGCAAACCTGGGGCATGATCTACCTGGGCTGGGACAGGGGACAAGGGCTGACTGTGGTGAGATGGCTGGGAAGGGATAAAGGCTGCAATGGAGGGACATGAGCAAGGACCAGGAGTTGTGGACCAGGATGAGGATGTCAGCTAGGTAGGGGGATAAGGCTGGCACAGGTGGGGAGTGGTGAGGGCACAGAGGCTGGCTAGTTCAGGGCAGGTGTCAGAATGGGGAGTGAGGGGCTCATATATGGTATAGCTCAGATGTGCTGGGGCCGAGTCAATTTGGGGTCTGGAGCAGAAAAGGCGCTTCAAGCAGAACCCAGAGAGGCTGGTGTGGGATCTGACGTGGGCGACATGTGGCCTCTGACCTGGCCCTGATGGGAGGATGT